TCAACAGACTCTGGCCAATCTGCAAGCGAAGGTTAGTTAGTTATACAATATAGTCAGCCCTATCATAATCAACTTATCTTTCTCAATCTATAGTATCCCATTCGCAACAAACAGCTGCTGATCAAATGCACCGCCGCATTGATCTTTGTGATCAGTTTATTCTTCTTGCACTCGGTGCCGGAACTGCAACGGCTGTCCCTCGGCTGGACAGCTCTATTGGGTGCTATATTTTTGATTATACTGGCAGACATTGAGGATCTGGAGGCGATACTAGCACGTGTCGAGTGGTCCACACTACTGTTCTTTGCTGCACTATTCATACTAATGGAAGCTCTGACAGAGCTGGGCCTGATCGAATGGATAGGCAATATGACGGAGGGCATTATTCTGGGCGTGGGCGAGGATCAGCGTCTGATGGTAGCCATATTGATTATACTTTGGGTGAGTAGTATAACTATATGAAAATATATATATATAGTCGTATCTATGTATGTCAAATTATAGGTATCTGCTATTGCCTCCGCCTTCGTGGACAACATTCCGCTGACCACGATGATGGTCAAGATCACAATATCCCTGGCTCAAAATAGCACTCTCAACTTGCCTCTGCAACCTTTGGTCTGGGCTCTAGCTTTGGGCGCCTGCTTGGGCGGTGAGTTTGCGATCTATACAAATATATATAATATGTACTATTGGAACTCTAAACATGAACTTTTTTCCTAGGCAATGGCACTTTGATTGGTGCCTCGGCGAATGTCGTTTGTGCTGGCGTCGCCGAACAACATGGCTATAAATTTACATTCCTTGAGTTTTTCAAGTGAGTTCAACAAATTACTTTAACTTACTATCAAAAATCAAAAAATACAACTATAAGGCTTAAGAATTATATGCATATGAATATATCTGTAGCTTAAATGACTTCTTTAAAGAGAGAGCGATTTAGAGAAACAATGAGAGAAAAAGGGGAAAATATTGACAGAGTGGAAGAAACTATAAGGGAGAGAGAGGGAGAGAAAAAGAGATAGACGGAAAGAAAGAGAGAGAGTAAGAGAGAGAGAGAGAGATAAAGAGAGAGAGAGAGAAAAAGAGAGAGAGAGAGGCAGAGAGTAGACCAGAAAAGACAAGAAGAAACAGTGAGACAAAAGAAAAAAAAAGAGACAAAAAGAAAGAGAAAAAGAGAGAATGAGACAACAAAGACAAAGAAAGAGAGAGAAAGAGAAAGAAAGAATCACTAGTGTGCGAGAAAAGCTGAGCAAAAGGAAAACATATGAGAAGCGCTGAGAGAGCCTGAAAGAGAAAAAAATATATTAATTAATGTCAAAATACCTCATAGCACAACTAAATTTTATTTTTTATAAATATATATTCCACATACATTTTAAAACTTGATATAAATAAAACTCTTACTAAATGTTTTTATATTACACTCTTTTCATCTGCAGAGTTGGTTTCCCCATTATGATTGGCAGCATAATTGTGACAACGGGCTATCTTCTCGTCTCGCATTCGCTATTCGCGTGGCATTGATAAAAGGCCCTCAGCTCCCAGGCCCCCAACCCACCCAACTAAATCAACAACAACATCAAAAAAATCGACAACGATTTCTGAACAAGGCGCACTTTACCTCGTTACCTACTGCAAAATAAACAAATGCAAAATGTTAAACATTTGCGACACTAATGAACAGAAAAACGAGCGAAACAAAAACAAAAAAATGAATTTCTATATAAAAGCATACTCTGAGTATGCTAAAAACTAAAAAAAAAACCAATAACTTTATGAGACAAGAAATAAAATATAAATTTAAATTTAAATCTAAAAAAATCACATTTATTTTTACACATCATTGTTAGTGTAGTGCGTAGTCTAAAAACTAAACGAAAGATCAATTTAATTATAAATGTAATTGTAAAAATCAAAGAAAACAAATACAATTAATAATAATAATAATTATACAAATGTCGCTGAACTGTGAAACAATTGTTAAATGTCTTATGTACGAATAATAATAATAATAATGAAATAATAAGAAATATTTTGCTGCTCGTCTTAATTTAATAACAATTTGAAATTGGTTTCCGACAAAACTGCTATAAATGTTGATTGTAAAATTTAGTTATTTAATTTGTTATACATTTAGCTGTAAACAAAAAAAACCAAAACAAAAAAACACAAAAAACAAAGTCAGAAGAACAATAAAAATTTAAATCAATTATTTTAAATGTTGCAAAATACAATTTTGCTGTTGATTTAATAAAATCGGGATTTTAATTAATAAATAATGCCTTGGCCGTTATGTGTCTGTTTATTTTTAAACAAATCTGCAATTTGTTAATCATTTTTGTTTATTTATTATTTGCGCCTGCTGGTATGCAACGCTTTTTAGCGAGCAAACGCAGCGCTAAGTAATGCTGCCCAGTTTCTTTCATAAACATCACTCACAACAGCTTATACTGTCTGCACACCATGCAGAGTGGGACGCTTGTATTAATAGTGGCGTTGAGCTAAGTTTACCTAACAACAGCTTTTCGCCACTTAACAATGCTGAAGAGCTGTGATAGCTGCTTAAGCCCTGTAAGTAATATATGCAGCTGACTAAAAGTATGCAACACTTTTTATTAAAATTTGAAGAAAAACGTTAGGTTGAAAATTAAGCAAAATTAAAAACAAATACTTATGTAAAATATAAAAATATACATATTAATAAATTTTAAATGTATATATTTTTTAAATATTAATAAGCTCTAAATATATAAAAAAAAAATATATATATATATATATATATTAATGACCAAGCATCGTTCAGTTTCCCACACTTATTTATTGGCTGAGCCTAAATGCACGCAATACTTTTTGGGCTCACTTAGCTTACTTAATATATTAATATACGCCGCAAAGCAAGAAGCATTTTTTGTTCATTTGAAATTTGAAAAAAAGATTTTTTTTTAAATTTCAGACATCTACAAATTCAATTTAGCTACCTAACACTGTCGTACTCAAGTCAAAACTTTCTTCATTTTTAACTGAAGTTTATCATTTGCAGGTGCAGTAAAATTGTCAACGTTTAAGTATCTTCGATGGGCGAGGTGCAAATAAACACCAGCCGGTCATGCGTTGTCAGTTATGGCCCAAAGCTGTTGGCCAATTGTTTGCAATTCATGCATTGACCGCAACGACTGCGTCTGGCTTTGCACTTCACTCCACTTGCTGCGCTTCAATAGGCAAAGCAATATGCTAGCTAAATAGTTGCGAGTATCCATAAATGCATATGTGTGTGTGTACATTACATAACACTTTGTTGAGGGTAATTAAACATTTAGCTATAGCTCTCAAGCATAGTTCAGCTGCGTTAGTACATAGGTGGGCGTCAAAGGTTTCACTGTCTGTCTTTTAGTTCAACTAATTAGTTGGTTATGCAAATTTCTGTGTGTATATCTTGAGCAGCAGTGCGTAGCACAGCGAGCTTCACTGTACTGTAAAGCAATTTTCGTATTGAATGTATATATATATATAGTGTGTGCAAGGGAAACTGCGATCAATGAACTTGAAAAGCGTGATGATAGATAGATATATATCTATACTATATATAGATACTATGATATCTATATATCTATATACCATATCAGACTATTTAATATACATGCATAGATCTCGTTCAGTTTGAAGTATGTAAAGTTAACTTCAGACAAAGATTTCTTTGCTCCTTCCACACAACTTCATTGATTTTTGAAGGATAATTTTCACTTATACCATTTTCTGCATCAGTTTTTGCCTCACATTTTGACAAAAATATTATTTATATAAATTAATTTTAGTGGACTTAACATCACATTTATTTTGCCATTAAGCAACACTCAGCTCAAATTTCAATTAAAAAAAAAACTTTCATCAAAAAACGTTTTTCGGTTACCACTTGATCAATGCCAACCTTAACTCGAATGAATCATTATTGTCCATATAATTGGGCCAACAGTTTTTTTTTTATTTTCAAAATAAATAATTCAAGCTTGAAAATGCGGTCAAATAACAGGCGAAGACAGCGCAGGACAGGCCCAACGAAACCTTTCACAGATGAGAGACAAATGTGTGTATATAAAATATATATATATATATTTATATATATCATATATATTACCATTCACATGAGCCACGCCCCAACGAAGCAGTTCACAGTGTCGGAGTCGCAAGTGCGCCAAATTTTTCGAACCAAGAGCCGGTCTCTGCTCTCTCTCATGAAACCGAAATTGAGCCCGCGGCCTGATGACTTGTGAGAGTGCGCGACTTAAAGACATCCTGTATGAAGCATAGACTTGTGAGATCAGCAAGAAGCTCTCTCTAATCAATGAAACTTGTTTTCTCTTAATCACAGCTCGCCGAAATCTGATCTCTGTCCATTGATATGTGATTACTTATTATTAATCATTGATCTCTGATCATTGTTCTCTGATCTCTGATCATTGATCTTTGATGTCTGATAACTGATCACAGATCTCTGATCATTGATCTCTGTTCACTGATCATTAATCAGTGATTTCTATTCATTGATCCTTCATTACCGAACTCTAATCACTGATCTGCAATCTTTGATCACTGATCTCTGATCTTTGATCCCTTATATCAGATCCATGATCACTGATCGCATATCTCTTGTGTGTGTATGATCATTAGTCTCTGATAGCTAATCTGTGAGCTCTGTGATCTTCTGTGTTCGCTGATCTTCCTTCAGTGAACTCCAATCTCTATTGTATTTGAATTGTATGTACTCTATACAAAACTAATCTACCCACTCTCTCGATCCTCCCCATTTCTACGCTAAGTACGGGGTATAGACGGTTACGTGATGTTTTGCGAGCTTAAGAGATTGAGATTGAGCTCGAGCTGGAACTGGAACTGGAGCTCAGCTTCAAGTCGAGCTTCAGTTTCAGTTTTAGCTTTTGGCGCGTGTTGCAAGTGCGAGCCGCTGTCTCTCCACTCTCCATTTCAGTTGAAACGCAGACGCGCAGCGCGCAGGTTGTCCGACAGCCAAGCCAATCGCATTGCATCCCATCGAAACGAATTGAATACAAAAACAAACATTAAAAATAGAGAAATGTACGAAACATAACGGTAAAACCGAATCCGGCATTAAGAGGCCCATTTGTATGGGCCTAGTGTAAACGGCAATTTATTTAACTTTTTGGCAAACCCAAATCTGAATTGAAGTCCAAATTGAAATCGAAATTGAAATCGAAATTGAAATTGAAATTGGAAACCAATTGAAATTAGAAAAAAACAAAAATTAAATTGAGAAACGCGCGCGCTTTCATTTTTTTACCAAAAATTTGTATTTGCTCTTTCGATTAGCAACAATTTTGAAATAAGTGTAAATCAAATTTACAGCCATAAACATAACAAACAATAATTATGTAGTCAAGTGTAGTGTGTGAATGCCTTTAAGTTTTCTAAATAAGAATTACAAAATTCCAAAACAAAAGCAAGCAGAAATAAACAATGACAACAGAAGAAGAAAAGAAAGAAAAATAAAACAACGTTTCAGACAAGGCCGCATAAAATAGTTAAAATTCAAAATAAGTAACATGACAGACGTCGTGACTTCGAAATACCCTAGACAAAGTAGCTCATAGAAAGAATAATTTTAAAAAATGTTTTGCAACTAAATTCTCTTTTTTTTTTGTATTCTGAGCATAAATAGAAAAATGAGAAAACGAGAAAATTAATAATAAATTTGAATATTATATATATAAATATATATAATATATAATATATATATATATAATATAGGCTATTATAGATATCTAAATATATACATATTTAAAACTAAAAAATATAAAATTAAATTTTGATTTTCTTATAAACTTCAAACTCAATATCTTTGAATTTATGATCTATATAATCTTAGGTAGACAGATAGATATATAGGTATATGATAGCTAAATAATAGAGAAACTAATTACATTATATCACAAGAGAATTCAGATTCCTTTAGGAGTAACTTAATTAACATAGTAAAGCACCTATCTTGAGATAAAAAATAAACCAAGTTTAAAATAAAGCAAATTTAGTAAAGCACCTGTCTTGAGATAAAAAATAAACCAAATTTAAAATAGCTAAGCAGCTTTTGAGCAAATCAAATGGCAATTACAAAAATTGACATATTATTCTAGAATAATTTTCAATTATTATTTTAAATTAATAATAATTAGATAACTGCCAAAAAAATATCTGTTCTTGAAATCTTCAATATTCTACAAAATTTGTTTATAGACAATGCCAGCTCATAACAATCCTTAGTTATAAGCCACATCTCGAGTTACATAGTTGATCTATTGCTATGGAGCTGCAGCTGATTTTTAAATTGCTGGAAAGTAGGAAAACTGCCAGAGATAAAAAAAAAATAAAGTTGATGTCAACACATACTCATAGATTTCTGATAGAAGAAGAACGAATGGGTTTCCGACTATAATTGCAATCTGTGATTTAGGATCATAAAATTCTATTATCTGATCTTCAATATCCGATATTTGCGCATTAAACTCTGACCTCTGATGCTAGAATAGAAATTCTAGAGACAAAATATAAAACTATTTAGCAAACTCATATAATATATATATTAAATAGCGTATTTATAGTATACATAGATTATATATATACAATGCCACAAGAGTCAGCTCCAATGCCCAATACTCTCCGCTAGGGTATCTCGCGTCGCTGGTAAAACCTTTAAAAAACAAGACAACAACAAAAGCCGCATTGAACAAAAGTGAGAGTGATTTCCAAACACATTTTTCGCCGTCGTTTTTTATATTTTCTGTGTGTTTGTTTTTTGTCCTCTTCTTTTGCTTTGGCTTCGTTTTTTGTTGACGCTTTTTATTAAAGCCAAAATAAAAAAAATATATGCAGCTCGAGACATAGTTGAAATACTTTTTCGTATGACGCATGCGAACAGACTCAAAAAGCCAAAAATGATTATTTGCCAAATGTTGTAATCTGTTTCTGTATCTGGCTATCTCTGTGTGTGTGTGTGCGTGTATTTGTATTGTTATTGTATTTTTACAGTTTCTTAACTGAACGCCGCGTTTCTACCACTTGGCTAAATGCAAGCCACAAATTGCTCGATTGTTGATCATGTTTTGGCCAAAACAACTGCCGCTCACTGTTAGCCAACAGCTGCTGCTGCTTCTACTGCTGCTTGGCCTGCTGCAATGTGAGTACACTGCCACAAATTATAAGCTGACTTCTAATTTTATTAAAAAAATTATTATAAACTGAAAGTTGAAGTACAAATTTGTATGCTAAATAATAAAATGTTTTTAAATAGAAAACAAATTTTTAAGCTTTAAAAAGTGTCTAAGAATTTGGATTTTAGAATTTGTTTAGATAAGAAAAAGACTTATAAATTTAATTATCATAGTAAAGCTAAGATACTTTGAGGCAAGTGCACCCATTAAATGCTTCTAGGAAAACCAAATAAATTTGAAAATTTGAACGAATTATTCACATTTTACATAGCTCAGCAATCAGTGAAAAATTTTTGCAGTTTATTCCGATAAAACTGAATTTGTGCCTCCGCAACAACCGGTTTGACTGCCCAAACGAAGCCAAGCGCAGCCAAAACTCTAGACTTTGCTCTGGCCCGCTTCGATTCGATCCGAAACGACGACCTAGCCTGGCCAGAGCCGCGTAAGCCAAAGACCGGGCCACCAAAGCAAAAATTTTCAGTCTAAAGCTGAAGCTGTTGCCGGTCTTTGTGTCAAGGTCGCGCGTCTCTTGTGTTCATTATTTCTCTTCTTCTTGTTGCCCGTCGCTTGTCGAACTACTTGAATCTGTTAACTTGATTTCATTATCTCCATCTGTTTTATAGTCCCTGAGTGCCATTTGAGCATTTGATACTTAAGAACAGATCAAAGTACACTCCTTAATTATGTGTGCGGCACTCAAGCTGTTGGGTGCAAAGCTATCATCAGTGAGGGAGGTCAGTTCGCTGGAAGAGATAAACGAACAATCGTCGACCCTGAGACAGCACTAAGTTTATAAGTTGAGTTTTGTATGAAATTTAGAAAATTATTTAAAAAACTTGCCTAAAAGCCAAGCTTCACAGATCGTTAAGGGACTACAAAATTGAAGAATTTTTAAGATAAAAAAATCGAATCACATTTTTATACATTCTGCAGAGGTTTTAGAACTTTTGATCGAATTAGAATTTAGCATATTGGAGGAAATGGTAATGGACGAAATTTCTGAATATATATAAGCCATAATGAGTAGTTCGTTAGCTAAACGACATTTATTTCAAACGAATCATATATCATAAAGCCAAATTGCTTGGCAAGTTTTGTGTCAAATTTCATATTAAAGCTTTGAATTGAGAGAGCTTAACTCATGGCTAATGCAGTAATAAAATAGTAACAAAATAATTTGAATTATTTATAACAAGTTTTCTTAAGGCGTAAGTAAAAATAGTTTTTCTTTTACTAATACTACTCTGCGCATAAATATGTCAAAGACAAAGCAACTTTAATATATATGCAAGACTTATATATATTTATATATATATATATATATATATATATATATTATTATGTGTCCAAATATAATTGTCTCTATATGCATCAGTCATAGAGTTTGTGACCTTCGTTGGCATAAACTTAAGAGTTAAAAGCCAGCGAGCTGCCAATTTTAATTGTTGTATAACTGCTTAGCCGCAAACCAGGCCTCACTCAAACAGCATACCAAGCCCTAAAACAAAAGCTCAGCCCATAAAAACGTTTTGTTGCGCAACACAAAAGGCGAGCTTCGGACTTCAAAACGTATTGCAAGCTGTCCGATAGAGCTAAGACTAAGAGTTAAGCGTCGATTAATTGGTATTGAAATTAGTTAACAAGATTTAGTGTATAATATATTATTAAATATATTATTCAAATTAAAATTATTATTTTTGAATAAAGACTAAAAACTATAAATTTTTAAAAATTATTTTTTTTTTATAATGAAGCTGACCAAATAAGAGTGATATGAAAAGAAAGTGTAATAAAATAAAGACAGTAAAATAATATTAAATATTCTTAACTGTATTTTACAGCTATTACCATGACATTATATTTAAAATAGCATTTCTTTCTTATAAATATCTTAGTCCTGCTAGCAGTGCTTTGGGCATAAGGCAGTGCAACAAAAGAAATGCAACGTAATTTTGGTTAGATTTTTAAAGAAATTTTTATTCATTGAGATACGAAATAATTTATAATTAAATGGCAAATAGTATTGAATTTTTCAGGTACTATATGTTGTCAATATTTGAAGCCAGTGCTAGGATATAATTATCGAAAGTACTATCACTCTTATTTGGTCAGCCTCAAAAATTCAAATTTGTTAGCAAATATGTATGTATTATGTATATATACATACATATACATATACATACATATACACTAGTTTAATTCATATATAAAAATTAAACATTTGTTTTTGCAGCTGAAAACGTGAATGGATTTATCGTGCCCCAAGAGCTGCAGTCGGCGCTCTCGCTAGTTTACTCCAATATACCGCCCATTAAAAAAGGTGAGTAAGGACCAGCACAAATCAGATATGACTTATTTTCACGATATACATCTGTTTCTATCTCTCTCTTTCTTCATGCAGGCACTGATTCGCGTCTTGGTTTCGGCTTTCGTCTTGGCGAGCATGCGGATTTCCAGGTGCTGCTCGAGCTGGGGCCACAGAAGAACACGCGTCCCTTAGGTGATTCCAGCAAGGATGATCAGTCGTTCAATAAGCGACAGGTGAGCGCCAGCGATCAACGAGCACATCTACGCCAGCAGCAGCTAATGACCAGCACGGAGCGCAATGCAGCCAGCTGGCTGGAGAGTTGGTCGAATGGCATGAAGCCTCAGCAGCAGCCAAAATCCAAGTCGAAGCCCAGTCACAAGCAGGCCACAAAGCAGACACTGCCCACTCGCGCACCTTTACCAGCTGATGCAGTGCAGCAGCTGCAACAGCTCTACAAAATGGCCACAGAAGCAACACTCAGCTCAACTACCACAACGGTAGAGCCCCCAACAAGTGGATCATTAAAGGTCCAAGCTCCAAGTGGTTTCAAATTGCCACCGCCTGCGCTCGAACAAGACACCAACTCCTTGGGCTACAGCATCAAACACACAAAGAGCAGAGACGAAGTCACCAAGGAGCTCATGAATGTCAGTCTAGAGGCTTAGCTTGTATATATATAATAGACATATAAATAAAGGTTTTATATATATTTTTAAAATGTGTAAATATGTGGTTTAACAAGCATTTTTGTTGTAAATATATCCAAATACAATATAATGTATTCTAAATCGAATAAAGGATTACATTAAAATGCCTAATAAAGAAATTAACATTAAAATGTTACTGCAGCTAGAACTGTTACTTGTGCTGTATGTTAACAGGTCGCTTAACACCAACTGCTGTTTCATATTTCTGCATTCTATTTATATCTAAATGCCGTTGCTTCTTTCAGCTCTCCCTTCCGTTTTCATATCTTCACTTTTGATTGTGTCGTGTAAGGGCCCCTTAACATAAAGACATCAATTACCCTCCAACCTTTCGTTTCATACTTCGGCGCTCTGTATCACTCCCATATGTCGTTGCTTATTTCAGTACTCTCTTTGCAAATACTTGCAAGCAGCGGCTCAACATATTGTTAACATCGTGTGTGGGCCCCTTAACAGCGCAGCTGTTAACAGAGTGTGAGGAGAAACCGTTATCAGATGGAACAACAACAAGGCGCCAAACGTATTGCAGTTTCCAGTGCAAAGAAGATCGTTGCAGTTGTCGAACGTTTGTTTTTTGCGCACGAAAAAAACAAGTTAGATTAACCTATATGTAAAAGGGTGTGCGTAAGATCTGATGTGAAGTACATACATATAAGTATTTGTCTGTGTATATATGTATATATATGTCTATTTGTGAACTAAGTAATATAACAATTTAAATACAATGTTGGATGCGGCTGCTGTGTTTTTTACAATAACAATTCCCACGGCCCAAGAGGAGCAGCGCCTGAAGGATGCCTACAGGCGGCAGATCCACATGAATGGCTCCATCGGAGTCATGGGAATCAACAATGCTGGCAGTAGTCCGGGCACAGAAACGGCAATCGATACTGGAACGGGAACGTTGAGCATGTCATTGTCTGCCTTTGACGAGCAGAGCCTCCGTTTGTTTGAGTCACCTAGCGTGGCCGCGACAGGGGGCGGGGCAATGGGTGATTGCAGACGTCGCTTGCCAACGCAGCTGACAAATGTCTCTGAGCGCGCCGAGCTGTTAGACTTACCTCTAGATTCAGCCATGGAGCACGTGCTGCAGCAGCTATTGCGCAAATTTCAAATAACGAATGCGCTTTGGCTGCGCAGCATGGATGGCGCCAGCTATCAGATCACATTTACTCTAGAGCTTAATGAAATCTACGAGAATCTCTACGACGCACTGCAGCTTTGGGGCATCGGAGATCGTGAGGGCTCCGCTGTGTCTGTCATGAATTGCATTGCCTCAAAAACTTATCAAACGAATTCGACAAAAACGGACAAGCAGCCGACGGCGCACAGCGAGTGAGTACAGTGAAGGCAAAATAGTTGCACTGAAAACTCGCACATACAAACTTTTTTATTGCAGTGGCAACAACAATCAAAATGCCCAGAAGCAGGGCACCTGGAATCGATTTATGAACTCTGTGCGTTCCAGACTGAACGTGGCCCAAATTGTACGAGATGTTCGCCTGGATGCGGCCATCACTTTTGACTTTTGCATACTCCTTGTCTCGGCAGCGTAAGTTGATCAAAAGGGAGAGGAGATCCTGAGAAACGATCACTGGACAAATGAATAAAAATTCTCAAATATCGAATCATGTCAAGTTGCACCTCAATTAGCTTGTCTAATCCTCTCAAGAGTCGAGCTTCTACCTGACTCAGATCAGTTTCCTGCATTATATCATTGAATAGAGCAATATTACATTGTATATATAACAGACTCTGTATATATATATATATATATACATATATATGTATAGCTGATCTGATTTGCAATAAGCGAGCAGAAGACATCCAATAGGATCTTATCTTATCTTATTGACTGACTAATCCTCTCAAGGTTTTACCTTGTGCCAATGCAATGTTAGATTAGCTATATGTAAATTTTGGATACTCTCATTGTCTCTACATTGCTCCGCTAGAACATATGCAATCTTGACTTCAACCCCCGCTTCATCTATAAATATCGACCAGTAGTTGTCATCCATATGCCAATCCCCTCGAGCTTTTACTTATTATAAACTCCATACATTCACTTGACACTCCACCAGCAAATCATCTTCAAACATTTCTCTAACCACATCTTTGTCCTCCTCTCTTTCTGCAGCATCTTGGCGTCTTTCGGACTAATAGAGGACAGTACCATATTTTTGGCGTCCAGCATGCTAATCTCTCCTTTGATGGGACCCATTATCGCCGCCATTTTTGGCACTGTGATCAAGGAGCGTTCACTGTGGCGACTGGGCATGCGCAATGAGCTAATTGGCATACTGTTGGCCACCTTAGTGGGATTTCTCTTTGGCCTCGTTGTCTGCACCACGGATAAGAAGTATGGTATAGGCGAGGGATTAACGGAGGAGATGCTCTCCCGCTGTGATCTACATTCGCTGATTGTGGGCCTCTTCACGGCCATACCTTCTGGAGCAGCGGCTGCTATTGGCATACTGGGCGGTAATATTGGTTCGCTGGTGGGCGTGGCCATATCGGCCTCGCTGCTGCCGCCAGCTGTCAATTCTGGTCTCCTCTGGGCTTTGGCCTGCATTTACAAGCTGTATGAAAAGGACGATACGCTCTATGTAGATGTGGTCAAGTCACGCACCTATTCTCAGAACCAGGCCACAGAGCTGGCTATCCTTGGCGGCATTAGCATGTGCTTAACTCTTTCTAATATCCTGTGCATCTACCTTATGGGCATTCTGGTGTTGAAGGTTAAGCAGATTGCTCCAGTGATTGGGCGCAGCAATCGTCAATTCTGGATGCACGACATTAAGGTGTCTAGGGGAGATGCTGCTATTATTGATGAGCTGCTGGCAGATCTGGCTAAAGAGGATAATCACGGCGATATCCTACGGCATCTGGATGAGGCTGCATATCAGCATACCTGGTCGCCGCGTAGCATACGACACAGTTTCTCCATGCAACCGGGCGTAGCCACCATACATCGACTCGAGCAGCTCTATACGCAATCTTTGACAAAGCCGCCTGAGAGGAGGCCACCGACACATCAATCAACAATAGAGAGGCGTCACACGCTGCGCTTGACAACTGATGAAACTCCTGTAAGAAGACGACTCCTCTGCCTAGCATCAAATCATATTCGAAACCTTCTCTTGTCTATTTTCAGCGTGCTCGCATTTCCAGCATGCCCTCATATAGAGCAGCGCAGCCGGAGAGAATTGATACCAGTACTCGCATTACGGTACCTTCTGTTCCACGTTTTACAGTCACACCCGCTTCAGAGGAGCTGCTGAAGCATTAGTTTTAAATATTTAATGTTTAATGTTTAACAAAAGTTGTTGTTTGGCAAATTAGAAACTGAAAATGTGTCTATGTCTGACGATCTTGTTTGGTCTGGCTTCGTGAACGTTTCAGCTGCAGCCGCTGCCTGACCGCCTTCTCCTGACGGCGACGCAGCTTCTCCAGAGTTTCCTCACTGGGTGCCACTGGCTCATCGAGCTCCTGGGCGCGTATTAGCGAGCGCAGCTTCTCCAGCGCATCTGCTAGATTCATTTGCTGGGAGCGAGTCAAATCGCTTTTAATAAAATAGTAGCCTTCTTTGTTGAGCTTGTTCGCCAGCGACTTGAGTAACTTTTCGCGAGTCTTCTCTGGTATCCATTGCGCCTCCGAGAGCTTGAAGCGCACATCGACTTTTGTATTGGAGGTATTCACGTGCTGGCCACCGGGACCGGAGCTGCGACTGTAGCTGATCTCTAGCTTATCCATGGGTATATAGCCATTGAATTTGTCGCCACTACCAGGCTGTAAATATACAGAGATTACCAACTTTTCACAGATTTCCAAAGTAAATAAAAATATTTACAGGTGGAGGCGGCGGAGTGTAAAGCTGTAGACGCGCATTTGGATAGATTTTATCTAGAGACAAATCACTTTTGTAGGACAACTGACGACCAAGCAGGGCAGCACTTCCATATGATTTGTGGCTGTGATGCAGCACGCTTATAAAAGCACAGGTTATTTTATTCATGTTTTCAATCTATATTAAACTAAATGCAGACCGCCTGTTACGACAGAAACAAGCCAGTGTTGCCAACTAAACCAATTAAAACAGTGCTAACGATAAGAAATAGCTGTTTATGGCTAAAATAAAATATGGCTAGAAGTCAGAGCTGCCAACTATTGCACTTGTTAATAGCAACAAATGGTTAAGATACATAGAAGCGTTAATTATTTACAAAAAGTTGAAATTAATTTTTTATTTAATCTTACTTAAAAAGGAGTTTAATAAGTTTAGTGCATAATATGTGATATAAATAAATAGTGAATTTCCCGAAAATCTGACGGAAAATTGCTACGGTAATGTCAGCACTAGGCAAACAGCTGTGTGGCTTGCATTGCCAATTGTCTTACATAAAATCGTTTTCTTTATCGATTGGCCGCCACAAGCTATTGTCGATTGCTCATCGCTATTATAAAAACGTGTTGACAACGCAAGCAATGGAAGTAGAAGAGGTGCAGCAGGAGCCGCCACTTGCGAATCCCAACGCAAATATCGTTACGGAACGTAATGCGAACATTATATCCGGCGGCAATGTCTTCTATAATCCCGTGCAAGAGTTCAATCGTGATCTAAGCATTGCCGCCCTCAACGTTTATTTTCAGCGCTTGGTCAAAGAGCGCGCTGAGAAGGCGAAAAAGCAGCAGCAGCGCAAACAGAAGCAACAAGTGGACGACAATGGGCAGCAGGAGACGCCTGTGACGCCTAGCTACACCGCAGGCACAAAGTATGAGGATGGTATGCGTATACTGGAGGCCTTGGCGGCCACTGGATTACGTAGCATTCGCTATGCCCAGGAAATTGCTGGAGTACGTCAAATTGTGGCAAATGATTTGTCCAAACAGGCAGTGGAATCCATTAAGACCAATGTAAAACACAACGGCGTGGAGCATCTCATAGAGACCAGCCATGCAGATGCCATGTAAGATGCCCTATCCCAATCAACATTTAATTTATATGTAATATATGTAAACCCTTGCAGGACACTCATGTATTTGTCAACTGCTCCACAGCAACGTTTCGACGCCGTCGATCTAGATCCATATGGCTGTCCAAATCGTTTTCTAGATGGCGCTCTACAGTGCATAGTAGATGGCGGCCTGCTCTTGGTAACCGCCACGGACATGGCTGTCCTTGCTGGCAATGCACCCGAATCCTGCTATGTGAAATATGGGTCTGTGCCATTGCGGATGAAATGCTGCCACGAGATGGCTCTGCGCATTCTGCTTCACTGCATCGAAACGCATGCAAATCGACATGGCAAATACATTGAACCTCTACTCAGCATCTCCGCTGATTTCTACGTACGGATCTTTGTGCGAGTCTACTCCAGCCAGGCTCTGTGTAAGTATAGCATGAGCAAGCAATCCTGGTTATTCCAATGCACCGGCTGTGAAACGTTCACGCTGCAGCCGTTGGGCACAGTGCGAAGTAAATCCGCCGAGCAGCCGCAACTAGTTAAATTTGGCATTCCCACCGGACCTGCTGTAAATAGTCAATGCGAGCATTGCAGCCATCGGCATCACCTGGGCGGTCCCATCTGGTCGGCACCCATACATAATATGGAGTTCGTTGAAGATCTGCTGCAGGCGGTGCAGACGACGCCTCTCTCTGAATTGGGCACGCAGCGTCGCATCGTGGGTGTCCTGTCCATGGTCAAGGAGGAACTGCCAGATGTACCACTTTACTACACGCCCGACAAGCTCTGCTGCGTGCTAAAGCTGGAGATTGTGCCCATGTTGAAGATGCGCTCTGCCCTGCTGCATGCCGGCTATCGTGTCTCCTATTCGCATGCCAGCAAGAATTCCTTAAAGACAGACGCACCTCCCTCGGTGCTGTGGGATCTTTTACGCTGCTGGAGCAAGCGGCATCCGGTGCGAGAGAATCGCTTGATACCAGGCACTGCCCTGCAAGCTATACTCTCGCAGCCTTGTCTACGAGATTATGAATTCGATGAGCTGCATCCTTTGGCGAATCCCAGCAGTCGCAAGCAGGCGCTCTCGCGCTTCCAGGAGAATCCGGCACCTCACTGGGGGCCAGGCACAAGAGCCACGATCATGTAAGTTGGCACCTGCCTTTGTTTAATTATATTTAATGTGCCCCAATCACCTCTAGGATTGGCGACAATAAACTGCCCAAGAGTTATCGCAACCAAAACAAAAAACAACGTCACAAAGCGATCCAGCAGACGACGAAGAATGAGGAGCAGGAAGATGCGCACCCGCTACACGAGGAACAAGAAAAGGAGGAGGAACAGCCGTTTCACGACGATGAGGAGCAACAGCCAGCAAAACAGTTGAAACTCTCGCCGACTGCATAAGCCGCTTTAATGATTGGTTGCTCTGTCAATTTTTATTGTATTTTCGTTGTTTTGCCAATTGCTTAAAAACAGAATTTAAAAACTAGCAAACTTTTGACTACGCCGAAAAGTCTGAAAACGTCTTTCTGTTTTCTCTACCTCTGTCTAATAGCGGAAGAAGTTACCATCGGAAGTCTGTCGCGAGAATCCATTGTTGACCAACTGCGTATGCACACCACTGCATATAAGCTTAACACTCGATGGATGCACCTTTTCCTTAATGCCGCCTGTGAAAAAAGGACGAAAGAAAAGCATTTTTATGGTTAAAATAATGAAAATGAAAGCAAGCTTCCAGCCGAATTTTCGTTAAATTTGACGCAAGAGCTCAGTCGTTCGCGTTCCAATCGAGGAATCTAGCTAGTTCATTTTAACGAATGCTTTATGATTCACTTTTCCGAAATTAATTGGCTCGACGTTGCGAGCTATTCAATTACTGAACTAGTGACCGATACATTTCATGACTCCAAAGTGAGAATCGTTTGCTTGATCACTGCAAAAGCTCACGACTAATCGAACGACATTTCTTTAATGAACAACCGGTGCTCATTCAAACTGGAACTGCCTTACCTATGACCAATGGATGGCCGAGTGCGTCTTCCATTTTCTGTGCCACAACACGCGTATTACGCAACACGCGAAACACATTGACTCGGGATATTGAGCCCACCTCTTTCTGGCCATGGTGAGCAGCCCAGCTGGTCAGTGCTGGACACGTATCACGTTGTAACACAACGTCAATATTCTCTGGGAACGTTTCACGGCCATGGTCGTAGCGTGATTGCAGTTGAAAGTCCAGCGAATCTTTTGGAACATTGGGATTAGCGCGAAAGCGTTTGCTATAGCGCACCGAGCTCATCGTCTGGTGATAGAAGAGACGCTCGTACGGCGCTAGATGGCTGTGCCATTCGTCGAAGACACTTGACGTTGCCGGTGGCCGAGGAAAAGGGCAAATGTATGTCCCCTCCTTTCGCAGATCCGGCTCGTACGAGTTGTTCTTTACCATTTTGTCCATATACATTGTGAATAATTTTTGTTAACCGGTTTGCAGCAGATAGGAAAACTCTTTCCTCTCGGATTAGAGCGAATTTTTTTTTTTTTTGAAAAATATAAATCAAATATTTTTTTAAAATTAAATTCGTAGCCGTGCTTAAAACGTGTTGTCAACAAACATGCCTTCCAACTAAAACTGAAACAGTACAAAAGCTAGCTTTGTGCCTCGTTGCTTATTCGAATCCAATTGGCATTTGCTTCGTTGTGCTGGAAACGCTTTGTCAATAAGCGCATGGGTGTTCGTGTAGAGAAAAATGTTTACAAAACTAGCTTGAAATATGCATTACTTCATTCACATTTTAACAATTTTTGCATCTCTATTGAAGATTACTTGCAATTTATCTCCAAATTTTAAATAAACATTCTCAGGCTTTAATAATAAACAGAAGTTTTTGTTTAGAATTATATCAATTAATTTTTATTTGTAATATATTCTTTCAATTTACTTAATTTTTGTCATCTATAAGTTAGTTTAATTTTCGCTGTAATAGAATCCGAAATGTTAGCTGCATATGTTAATGTGTTACTTACCTGTTGAATTCCAATTGGATCAATCAAAGTGTGCTCACACGTATTGTAGGACGCTCAGTGGTAGGAGTGGGTGGGGATGTCATACGGTGGAGTCCGCTACAAATTTCGCTAAAGTCAAAAGTAGGCCCCACCAATCGCTAGACAGAGCAGGAAACAGCAGGAAACAACGCCAACAACGCCGGCAACAGCAACAGCAGCAACAAGTGCGAATAAGAAGTGAAGCAGCGAAACGCCAACGGCAAACTAAACAGCGAAACAGTTGAGGGCAGACAAGGACGCCGGCATCTGCAGCAGAACAGCAGCAACAGCACCATTTCGGCAGACGCAACGGCAACGGCAACGGCAACAATGTGAGTATGTGTGTGTGCGCGTGTATGTGGGTGTGTGGGGAAGATCGAAGTAACAGCAGCAGCGGCATCAGCAGCGCAGCGAAGTTTTGCAGACAACAGCAACAGCAATAGTAGCAGCAGCAGCAGCAGCACCAGTAGCAGCGACGCGACGTTTTCCGCTCTCCGCTCTCGTTGTGTGTCTGCTGCTCAGTTTATAATGTATATAAAAAGAAATAAACACACGCTGCTTTGCTTCCGCGCTCTCTTTCGCTTTACCTCTCTCGCTCACCGACTGACCGACTCTCTCCCTTGCCCACGCACGACTCGCCCGCCAGCCAGCCATAACATAACATATACATTAACAGCAACGTCTGCAACAAACGCCGCGCACACTTGCCTGCGTATATATAAATGTGTAAAATGGTTGGAAAGCTTGTTAATAAATTTTTGTTTATCGTAATCGTAATTGGGTTACAGTTAGAAACGAAAAGAAACGAGCAACACAAAAGGTAACTTCAAAAATGTAACGGACAATAATCAATATCAGCTAGTTGACTGTGTTGTTTCCCGCATTAGTTGTTATTGATATACATGTTATTTAATTTCGTTTTTTTTTTGTTTTTTGTTTTTTTTTTAGTTTATTTTGTAGTGTGTGCTACAGAAATCATCGGTAATGGCGCCCAAGTTAAAAGCTACATACATCCCTAGATGCCCTAGCAAGCACTATTAGCTGCTGACCCTTTTGAGCAGACAATTAAATTATATTAAAAAAAAGGAAAAGAACAACAAACCAAAATAACTGAAACCAAAGTAAAAACTAGATCTCAAAACCTTAGTGGGGGCTGGACTATGCTCTGTTTTATGTAATCTTTTTAGTTTGCTCTCTTTTGTTGATTTCTTGTTTGTTTTCTTCAACTTAAAATAGTGTACTATAAATATTCTGTATATGTGTGTATAACTGTTTTCATTTTTGTTTTTGTATACCTGCTGTTCTGGTACACAGCATGAGAAGTTGTTACAGTAGCCCAGTTAAGCAGTTCGCTGGATACACCGTTGTCTACGATTCAATTAAGGCTGAAATTCGAGCATAAAATCTCAAATTAGCATATTCATAAAAAAATGTATGTTGTTTCGTTTACCTTTATCGTACATAAAAGTATGGAACGTCTGAAGCGAGCCGGCACTTAGGAACGACTGCGACTGCGTGAGCCGCTGGCTAAGCCGGCGCTGCTGATGCCATTGCGACTATCGCCGCGTACGGGACTACGTGAGAATTTGCTGCGACGACCGGGCGAACGGCTGCCCGCCGAACGCGAGCGTGAACGCGGCGAATACGAGGAACGACGTCGCGGACTGCGCGAACGACGACGCATCGGCGAACGTGAACGCGAGCGACGACGTCCCCCAGCACCGCCGCCAGCGCCGGCGCCTAGGCCAGCGCCACGACGACTACTACTGCTGTTGCGGCGCGTAGGCGACGAAGGACGGCCATAGCGTGCCATTTGAACGCGCAGCTCCCTTCCATCCAACATACGTCCATCCATGGCCTCCAGTGCATCCTCAGCGTCGCGCTTATCATAGAACCTAAGGTGAGAAAAAGGATGTTATTTGAATTTGTCACATAACTGAATATACTTTCGATCGGTTTAAAAAGAGAAAACTGGGAACAGTCTAGATGAATATCAAATAGAGATGCAGACCCAATAGATGCCCTCACTTAACAAGATAAGTGATTTTTTAATTTATAATTTATTACATAAGCTTTGGCGTCTTTGTTCATATACTTATAGCAATTCTATCCTTGCATACTCAAACTTAGCTTAGCTTAAATTAGAATGGGTTTGAATTTGTAGTAGTCGCAGTATGTTGGCTAGCAAAGGGTTGGGTAGGCAACAGTTGCAATTGAACACATTTTATCTGGCATCTTTGCTTTGAGCATGATCAATCGACACTTTATCATGCTTAAACAGAGCAATAATGCAGGGTATTTATAATAGGTATACGCATTGATTAATATTAATGGATTCATCTGTAGTATTCGCAGTATGTTGGCTAGCAAGGATTTGGGTAGGCAACAGTTGCAATTGAACACATTTTATCTGGCATTTCTGCTTAGATCATGTTTAATTATAAATCTAAACATGTTAGGCTAGTGAAAAAATGCAAACAATTTCAATTGAACAATGGAAAAATTTAATAATAAATAAACATTAATATTCATCGTATTTCTTGACACTGCTAATACGAAAATATGGGAATTTGTAGCCATAAAGCACGTCGTGCCTAACCTCAAAATAAAAAAGTATACCCTGAAATTATATATAAGCTAACAGTCAAATTCCATTCATTATGCACCCAACTTATTTGCAAACTAAACAAATTTTCCCATAATTATTTACTTACCGCACAAAGGCAAATCCTCGACTTTCACGTGTGTAGCGATCGCGTGGTATGTAAATGTCGCCTACTTCGCCACAGCGCTCGAAGACACGACGCAAATCCTCGGGTGTGGTGCGATATGTGAGATTGTCGACCTGCATCCGAAAATACATGTAAATTAAGTGTCGAATGAAAAAAGGTTATCTAACCCACACAGACAGTAAATCAATTGCCGGCCGCCATTTTGTCTGGGTGCTTGCCTGCGTTGCTGTACTTTCTATTTAATTTAGGTACTTGCCTTTAGCGAAACCATGCCATCGATTCTGGGTGGTGGGCGTGCACCGCCTCCAACACCGCCTCCGGTGCCGCCAGTACTCATTTGACTTTTTATGCACTGTTTTAAAAATTATAATTTTTTTATTTGCAAAATTTACTGCTTTTGCCGCCGCTGTTTAGCTGTGCCTGCTCTGCTTTGCTCTATCGATGGCTGAAATATGAATATTGTGATTCGATATTTTTAATGTTGACTTCTACGAAATATCGATATTTTGCTAAAACAAGATGACAACTCTATTATGAGGCCTATCGTTTCATATAACGATGTCATATATAAATATCATTCTGTTTTAAAGTTTTATCAATCAATTATTGTTCACCTATTTTACACATACAATTACAATAATAGAAAATTCCTGAGTTTTTTTGTATAATTTGTTAAATATATTTAATTATTGCTAACGATATTGAAAACCTATCGATACTTTCCATCCCTGGCTTTGCAACGCGTGGCGGTGAAACGTGTAAAATTTTGTTACAAATTTTGCAACAAATTCGCTAAATTAACCGCAAAAAGAAGTTGTTTTTGTTAGAAGGTCAGTTGACAGCTGTATATGTGCTGGCACAGGTGTTGAACAGGACTGGAAAAGGTGTCAAAGCGAGTGAGAAGAGATTGTTCACACAAAACTCTCACACAAACACACACACGCACGCACATACACGTAGAATTCTGTGTTGTGCTGCCAGACAGTAGTAAAGTGCAGGAGAAAAGCAAAAGCAGCAACGACGTCTAAGTTGGCTTAGACGTTGAAACAACAACAGCAAATTAATCACAAATTGAAAGACTGGGTTATCTCCTATACCCCTATCTATTCCTTTCATATTCCGCCTATTGTACTACTCAGTGGCAAACGACGACGAAAGTCAAACGCGTGTTTGTGTGAGTGCAACAGAAGCAGGGCGAAAGTGTGTCGTCGTCGTCGTCGACGTCGCAGTTAGTGTGTGTGATTGTGTGTGCTTAGCAGCACAGCGCAGCGCAGAGGCGAAAAGTGAAAATTTCCACTCGAAAAGCGATTTGTACGAAACACCTCGAAAAGCAGCAACAATGGCCGCGCAGGAAAACACGGAAATTTCAACGAAATTCTCAACACTCAATGTGAATGCCGTGGAATTTGTGCCCAGCTTTAATTACAGCAGCGCTGCCAGCGCAGCGGCTGTTGCAGCGGCTGCAGCGCAAGCGCCGCCGACTACACAACAACAACAGCAGACAACGCCAGTGGATAATGCTGTTGCGCCTGGAACTGGTTCAGTGCCGGCATCTGGTAGTGCCACACCTGCAACAACGCCGGATTCCACAGGCAGTGCTGGTTCCACAAATGCACTAAACGCCGGTGGAGGCGGAGCAGGAACGGGTACGGCAGCGCCGTCCTCGGCTGCCGCCTCAAATTCGGCATCGCCAGCGCAAGGCTCGCCCGTTACCACGCCTTCGACAGCGGCAGCAGCACCAATTGAGCATATAAATGAGGTGGACAAAATAACGGCAAACAATGGTAAATATAAAAAGCTCATGTATATAAACATGTTTAGTTAGTGTGCGTGTGTCTGTGTGCTTGTGTCTGTGAGTGTGTGGGCGCCCTGGGGTAGTTTAGAGTAAATGTCGGGCGCATTGAACTTTTACATTGTGACGTCACGTGTGCCGCTCATTGTATATTAGCAGCCCTACAAACACTACCTGCTTGCTAACTGTTATTGTTGTTGATAAGCTGTTATATATAAAAAACAAAAGAAAAACATAAAAGTGCAAATATGCTTAGGTTATCGGTATATCGCATAACATAACCTCAATTGTTGTTGCGGTAACGAGCGCCCCGTGTGAATATTGTATGGGTGGCTGTGTGTATGTGTCGGCAGGTGTTTGTGCGTGTCTTTTGTGCTGTTGTTAATTGTATTTTTATAAAAGCTGCATTGCACTTTGCATGCTGCTTAATGCTGCTAACTCACTCACACGCACACACATGCAATTGCATTAGATGCAGCAGCTGTTCATGTTGTGGACTGCTATTTATCGTGTGTTCGTTTTAGTGATGCGCAACATTTCTTTAGTTCTTGTACACAATAATTTACTGCTTCAAATACTTGTATTTATTTTTGCCCTCACTTCAGCTATGGTAATAGGGAAAAATATTTAAATAGAAAAATATTTATGAATTTATTTTATTGCGTTAGTTTAAAATTTTAAAAATTACTTATGTTTTGTTTTTGTGGTTTTCTATTGTATTGTAATTCGCTTTCGTTAATATTGAGTATCCGTGTGTGTTTATATCGTCATATATCACCTTTTAAACTCGGTAATCTCTCTGTTGCTCATCTCCGTTGCAGCATGCTGTTGTGTTTTGACACGTTTACGTTTTTCACTTGTCTTTATTGCCGCCTGCTGCTTTCGTATCGATGTTCGCTCGTTGTTGAATGACTCAAAGCAGTTCTTGCTGGATTTACAAGTGGTAAACCATTCGTTGGCGAATGTTTGCTCACTCGTCACATGGCTCCAGCATTTGCTAAATGCAGCCCTGGTTGGGGCTTTTGTGTCGTTGCCAAGCACAAGCCTGTTGTAGTAGTTGTTGTTGCTATCGTTATAAGCAGCTGCGCGCGCTGTTGGCCCTAATAGCAGTTGGCACTGCTGTGTGCGTGCGTGCCATTTGCTCTGCAGCTCGCTTGCGGTTTGAACCGCTTTCAACTTGATTCTGAATTTCAGTCGTCTGCTTGCAGCAGCGCCGACCAAACTTGGCAAGCGAACTCGCCGTCCAGTAATGAATTTTGTTGTGTGCTTGGCGCTCGCTTTGCTTTTAGCTACTTTTACATTTCCGCGCTGAACGGCCGCGTCAACGTGTGCGCATGTTCGCTTAACTGATTAAATTCGAATTTCTTAAAATTAATTCTTCTGAAATGTTTCGAAAAGGCGGTGGCGGCACTCGATATATTTATTCGAAGAAATTGCCAATGAAAAAAAGTTAGTAACGGTTAATGGGCTGCGCGCGCATTGGCTTCTGTAAGCGGGGCCATAACCTAGGGCTACCAGATTTCACCAGTTTCAACTAAAAGCGTCGAGTTGTGTTCACAAAACAACCAAAAAAAAAAAAAAAACAAATGCTGTTTGCTTGTGACCTGCCGCTCTCCTCTCCGCTATTTCGTGGTGGCCCGGCAAGTTGTACCCTGGAATAGAAATTGGGCGCGTGGCGTATTTGTCAACCGTGACACGAACGCAAAATGAATTGTAAATTATGAAATGAAACAATATGTTTGAATGCCTATTGTTTATTATATTGTGAAATGCAACCACGCGCCCATCTCTAAGCCTGGAAATGCATTAGGCTTTCAATATACGCACGTTTATGCACGTTTAAACAAGCACTGCAACCAACAAATATGACTCATTCTGTCAAACGAGGGTGTTAACTCTGCAGGCCCCTGCCATGCCCGTCATATGTCAATTTCACAACAACAAAATCACAATAACCGAAGATAACATTAAACCAGGGCTGCAGTAATTTCAAAAAATGAATATTTTGTCTCTTGGCATACGAATACGTTGCTTCGACAGCTTTTAAAAGATTAAAAAGCAGCTTTATCAAGTTTAGTCAAGTTTATTTTTCGCAATTTTACGACTATATATATATATATATATATATATATATATATATATATATATATATATATAAATATATATATATATATATATTTGTGCGTACATATGCTTAAAAGCTTTGTTCAGGTACATATATATATAAATGTGCGTAATCGCTTGTTCATTTGAACTTTTGAAAATAGAAAAACAATCGAAGTTTTATATTCAGTTAGTATAAACTTTCTGAAACCGTTTGCTGCTTTTTCGTTTGTTTATTGGAATGCTCTACGATTCCATAACAAAAAAAAAAAAAAAAAAAAAACATTGTTATTTACATTCTACAATTGTGAATAATTGTTACTTCTATAAATATATAAAATTAGATATGAATTTTGCTGCACACTTATCTGATAAATATTCTTGCATGCCTTATTATATAGCTTGCGCATAGAAATTTAATAAAAATGGATATATCTTTGGATGTTATAATAATCTTCTATATATTATAGAAACGGATCCCGCTGATAGCTGGGATGTGGAGGATGATGCTGTCATAACGCCTGAGGATGAGGAAGCCGATGATGTTGAATTCGTTGAGGGCGAAGCCACGCCGAAGGTGTCAAAGAAAAAGATTGTCAAAGTGGAGGAGAACAGAAGCAAACGCGAACATGTAAATGTGGTGTTTATTGGTCATGTTGGTAAGTATTGAAGTAGCCACAAATTATGGGGATACCTTAAACGATCATTCTCTACTTCCCATGCAGATGCTGGTAAATCAACCATTGGTGGTCAGATCATGTCGCTGACGGGCATGGTGGACAAGCGCACACTGGAGAAATATGAAAGAGAGGCACGGGAAAAATCTCGTGAGAGTTGGTATTTGTCCTGGGCGTTGGACACAAATCAGGAAGAGCGCGATAAGGGCAAGACTGTAGAAGTGGGTCGAGCCTATTTTGAAACGGATCGCAAGCATTTCACCATCTTGGATGCACCTGGTCATAAGAGTTTCGTTCCAAACATGATTGGTGGAGCGGCGCAAGCAGATTTGGCTGTGCTTGTTATTTCTGCGCGAAAAGGTGAATTTGAGACGGGCTTCGATCGTGGTGGGCAGACGAGAGAGCATGCCATGTTGGCTAAAACCGCGGGCGTTAAGCATTTGGTTGTGCTTGTGAATAAGATGGACGACCCGACTGTTAATTGGGATCAAGGACGTTACAACGAATGCAAAGACAAGATACTACCATACCTCAAGAAGCTCGGCTTCAATCCAGCAAAGGATTTAACCTTTATGCCTTGTTCTGGACTCAGCGGCTATGGCCTAAAGGATCAAGTACCAGAAACAATGTGCCCTTGGTATAGAGGGCCTGCCTTTATACCCTTTATCGACGAGCTGCCTTCGCTAAATCGCAATCAAGATGGCCCTTTCATTATGCCTATTGTGGATAAGTATAAGGATATGGGCACCGTTGTCATGGGCAAAGTTGAATCCGGTTGCGCGCGAAAAGGACAAAATCTGCTTGTTATGCCGAATAGGGTAAGGAATATAATGAATCAATTAAAAATTCTTACTAATTGTGTTTTCGTTGCAGACGCAAGTAGCTGTTGATCAACTATTTTCAGATGACTACGAGGTGACCTCTGTGGGTCCCGGCGAGAATGTTAAAATCAAGCTGAAAGTAGGTTTTCATATAATTTAAGTAATTCTGTAACTAATCAAATTACTTCCAACTCTTGCAGGGCATCGAGGAAGAAGATGTTTCGCCAGGTTTTGTGCTCTGTGATGCCGCCAATCCAATCAAGACAGGCAAAATCTTTGATGCTCAGGTCGTTATATTGGAACACAAATCAATTATCTGTGCGGGCTATTCAGCTGTCATGCACATACACTGCGCTGCCGAGGAAGTAACGGTCAAGGTGCGATCTCGTTCTATATGTTTTATAATCAGATTGCTTTCTATTATCATAATATATCTATCTATTACCATAACTATTAAATCTTTATAATTATTTATAATAATATAATTCTGATATATTATCTATATCTCGGTTATAGGCACTCATCTGTTTGGTAGACAAAAAGACTGGTGAGAAATCAAAAACACGTCCACGATTTGTTAAACAGGATCAGGTCGCAATAATGCGCATCGAATGCTACGGCATGATTTGCCTTGAACAGTTTAAGCTATTCCCACAAATGGGACGCTTTACGTTGCGAGATGAAAGTAAGTACAAATTTGATGCTTCAAAGAAATATTTACTAATTGATTTATCTTATTAAATAGATAAAACCATCGCCATTGGCAAGGTACTCAAGGTGATCGAATAAATTGAGCCAAGCTAAGTTTCGAACGCCCGCCTTTTTTCACTGCGGCTTTACAGCAAAACACCTTTTTATGTATGCCAGACGAATGAGATGAGATGTCAATGCCAACGCCTACGCCACGCTTTCTACAAACAGTTTTAATTTCATACACAATTATGTAACCTAACAACAATAGCAATTGATATAATGGTTGGAGCAAAGATTTATATAACAAGTATCTAAAGCAAATAGTTTGGCACACGCAGCTATCAGCTATCAACAGAGAGAGAGACACACAGATGAGCAACAGAGCAACACAAATGCATTATATAAATATATATTTATATATATTAATATAAACTATGTTATGTATAACTAAAAGTAAAACATGCGAATGTACTATTTATATATATGTACAGATATTTGTCGGATTTACGTTTGTTTCGACTTGACTTGGCTAAAAAAGAACTCAAAACTCAAGGAAATTGAGCAGCAGACATCGCTTTATTAACTTGTAAACTTTTAAGCAAGCATTCGTGAATTTTTTAAAACAAAAAAAAAAAACAAAACAAAAACTAAAAAAAGCTGCAAGCAAAACAATTTTTATATTTATACAAACAAAAAGAAACAGAAACAATATATAAGCATGAAATAGTTGCCATTCCTCAGCTCCCACTTAAAAAAAAGAGAAGTAAAAAATGTCTTCTTGCTGCTCTTGCTTTGAAATTATGTTTATGGCTTTTTTTGTTACATTACAAATTACACTTTCTTAATTAATTTTTTTTGAATTTAAGTTTTTAAGCTCAAAATGAAACTGCTAAAAAAGAATAGAAAGAAAATACCATTTTAATTACTTAACTATTTGTTAATTTTAAATGCTAAACTGTTGTCTAGAAACTAATTTCAAAATCTTTTGATTTTTGATTTTATAAATTTAGTTAATTGGAAGCAAACGCAAAGCAAAAATCCCAAACACGAAAACGAAATAAAAAATTGCCTTTTTGCTCGTAATATGCAAATAAATTTTCAATTGTAATTTTATTATTTGATTTATATATACATGAATATGCTCCATAATTTTGGATTTAATCAGGACCAAGAGAAGGTTTCAGCTCTCATCGATTATGTATTTTTGGTTGTTTTCCCGATTATCTTCTAATTCTCTAGTTTTTTTCAAACCAGTTATGAAATAATTTGTATGGCGTATTTCATTTAAGAGTTGAATTGAAAAGTTGTTACCATTTACACATTAATTATATAACGCAAATAAAACGTAACTAAGTTGAGCAATCGCCCGTATTTAAGTTAATTCAATTAACTTGAAAGAATACATATAAATATTTGAAACCTGCTTTTCAACGCTTACCGCGCTTTCTATTAAAACACAAAGGCGAACAAATGAAATGAAATGAAATAAAAATGAAAATACAATTGTTAAAAATCTCTCCGACAGTTATACATGATGATATTTAAAATGTTTCTCAAAAAAAACTCGTAACTAAAAAATAAATGAATATATAATGAAAACGAAAAGAACTATGCAACTGATAAATAAATATATATAAAATTGTATGAAATATAGATACAAAAAAGAATAAAAACAAAACAAAAACGAAATAATAGAAATTATATAGACAAAACGGGAATATTTATACAACATTAAATGTATTATTATTATACATGTATGTATACATATTTAAAGACAAAAAATAAGATCCGAATAAATTTGAACATTTTTTATCAATAAAAAGCGAAACAAGAAATAAAAAAGATGACAAAAACGAACCAACATTTAACGACTTTTAGTATTTATAATACTGTTAAAAATAGTTTATGAAATATTAATTTAAATTTTGTATTAATTTCATCATAGCTGAATTTTAAATTGTTCTGTTTAATCTTGTTAAAAAAAAATGAAACTATCGATAAATTAACAAAATCGAACTGACTATGAATCAGTTCAAAAGGCTATGATCAAGTAACGGTTATTGAGGCTGTCATTTTGTCACTTGAGGAAAAAAGCAGAATAGAAGTTGGTCGTTATTCTTTTTACATTTTCACTGTCCCAAGTTATTCTTATTTTGTAATTTAGAATTCTAATTTATTTTGATTGCGTTTAACAATAAGTCATTTGATGCATGGCTCATAAAATTACAAGGTAACTAAAAAATCGATTCGATTTATTTATTTTCATTGCTTTTAGGGTATTAAAACATATAAATTCATATTATTATTTATGAACAAATAACAGTATTAACAACATACAGGATTACTGGATGTCTCCATGGTATGCCTGTTTCTTCTGCATCTGCGAGATGTTTGTACAAATGGCTGTGAAAATCGCACCAATAACTGGAGAATTGGAAGCTGCTTAGCAATCCGCTTGCAGCGCCTTTTTCGCCAATAGCGGTGTAATGGGCTGATCGCGCCTGTTGGCCGGCTCCTGTCGCTTCGTCTCCTTATCGCCATAAAGATCCAGGTCGCGGCCATAGTACCAAACAAGCCAATCAAACACCACGCCAATAGACGTGAAGACTACGAGGATGAGCAGAGAACTTATGTTATATGCAGCAAAAAGGAGAAATATGAGGCTCACTTACAGCAGGACAAAAAGTTGATTGAATAACGGAATTTCGTTTGGTCGTACAACTGGCAATTGCCATTGCCATGACAGGTTTTTGTCCATATCAGGCAGGTGGAGTCGATGATGCGCCCAAATATAATGGGACCAGGTATCAAGGCAAATAAGCTGATCATCATCAAAGCCAAGCCCTGGGCAAACGATTTATCCTCTGGCGCGACAGTGCGATAATTGACCAGCACATTGCCAATGCGGCCCGAGCTGCCAAACCAATTGACAATAATAGACGTTATGGAGAATATCCAAAAGACTGTATCACATCCTTTCATGCAAACACCTGGACGCAAAACCAGATCAGCAACTGCTCGCCTGCTCAATCTTAATAGATCGTCGACAAGTTCCACAGAATTATCATCGCTAAGCAGTGGCACATTATCCATTATTATATCTAGTTCCATGTTATCTATGAACGTCACATCCGTGGTCCCATCCTCCATTAGCAAGCGCTCTGAGGCTCCTCCATATAGTTCCATAGGATCAGATGTGAGCTCATCGTTGAGGCAGGCACATTTATCGTACAGCTTGTTGTCTGCATTCCAGCTGGTGCAACCGGCATGGCAGGGCGAGAAGTAAGTGGTGTCACTAGCTACATGGCAGACCGGCGAATAATTAACGCCTTCACAAGAACAGTTTGCATTGCAATTGCTGGTCAAATTGAGACTGCGTAAAGAAATAAACAGATTGTGCACTAAATGTGAGTTTTAAGTTGTACTGGGCAAAATGACGTCACAAGTGCAGGAAAATCTTATTAGGTGGCAACGTTTGGACCAACTAAGCTCGAGCAACTCAATAAGTAGGAGAATGAAAGAAAGCTGCATGTAGTAGTAGTATCTGTGAAGCTTTGAGAATTTTTATGAAAAAGGCTAGGTGGCAACGCTTGCTAAGGCTGAGCTTATAAACCGACGAGAATGGCAAATTAAAGTATACAAAAAATGGCGGATTGTGAAAAGTGCGGCAAATGTGTGAAAAGTTTACAAGTGAGCAATAAATATGAACATATCAAATTTAAAACTAATAAATGTGGTAAAAAATAGAACTTACTTGCCCAAATAATCTTTTGAAATGGAATCGGGACAATACAAAAAGGCATAGGATATCTGACCTGAAAAACAGCAATTGAGGAGAAATGGAATTAGGTAAAAATAAAATATGTATAAATATATAAGCGTTGCTTTTAACTAACCGCATATGTAAATAATGCCCACAATGACATTCCACATTAGAACCTTGCTAATTGATGGCTTTTTCTTCGATATGACTAGGCCAGAGGCAAAGAGGCCAATGATCATGCCCAGAATGGAGACTGGACCAACGATAATTGTGGCACTCTGTGCCGCTTTATGGAACACAACCTCCATGTACTTGGTTAAGAAAGTCATGAAGCCCGTAGCACCCAGTATATAAAATACGCCCGACGAGATATTAAATATGAGCAACTTATTACGCAGGAGGCGCATTAAAGCACGTGGAAAATCCTTCAGTTTGGGAAGATCAGCATTGGCACCAGCTCCAATGCTATCCAGGGCAACGTTCGAGGACACGCGGCTACTTAAAGAAAATCCCTCCTCTCGCTTAAGCTCCTCGTGTCGAAGGGCATGGGGCAAATGTGAATTGCGATTTCCTTCATTATTTTTCTTTGGCAGCTGCTTGGGAAAGAGTCCAATCAAACCAGAAAACACGCACATCAAGGTACCCAGGATAACCCAACCAAGCCACCAGGCGCCCAGCCAGCGTGGATCCTTACTATCAATCAAAGGCGTCTTGCTTGGGTCAATGAAGGTGTTCAACGAAATGAAACCTAACATAAAACAAAGATTAAGCATCAATTTGAAGATAATTGAAATGTGTAAGACCCACCAAAGAAGAAACCAAAGACGGGTCCAATCATACGCAGCGACATGGCCACCGCCAACATCAATGGTGTATTGGTTCGCTTGGTATTATCATCCAGGTACGTTTGGCCTAGAGCATAGTACAGGGTATTACCCACGCCCAGCACAAACTGTGAGAAGAAAATGAGCACAAGGGGCACATACGTAAACAGACTATCGCAATTCTCAGCCGGCTTTCCTGCACCACAAAGCTGCTCCGGCTTGCTTTTCGCCGAGCTGCCATTCTATAAACGAGAGAATTATTTATTTACAAACACAAAGTCTATAACATTTGGGCTTACCACCGCTGCAAAGCTCGCATTGAGCGAACTATTTAATAGACCATCCTGATACTCCTGAGTCAGCTGCAGTACCTCATCGCCAGCTCCGTAGATGAAGTGAGGCAGCACCAATATGAAACAGGATATACCACAGAGCACAATGCCCCAGGCAATCCAACGTGGACGATTGCGCTGACCACCGATATAGGATAGGATCAGTGATAGCATTATCTGTGATATCTCATTGCCGCTTAGCACAATGCCTGGAGAAATGAAAGAGCATCACACAGTTCAGTTAAGTAAACAATAATTATATGCTATTAGTAAATGTTGAAGCTAGTTGATTGACTGATCATAACGACCCTATTCATTTACGTCCTTTTATTTTGACCAATGAAATTATACCCTATATATTTTCAAGGACGAAAAATAAGTGGCAAGCAAATTTGTTGTTTATATTTTATATTTTATATCATATATATTTATATTTGAGGAACATGATTAATTCTTTTTCATTGATTCATATTTCGAGTCCCAGACGTGTCAATCAATCAAAGTGTTAGACTCACCGGTCGTTTGGCTGGGTATTTTAAAGCGCTTCTCCAGTGTGGTCAACGTGACAATGAAATACATGTAGGACATGGCCTGAATCGTGCCTAGTAGACCATAGACGCCCATGAACCACTTGGTTGTGGCGTATTTCTGCAGCCAGGCGGGATGCCATTTGCCCAAGCCACATAAATAGTGTCCCGGGGGCAAATGTTGTTTCCTTAGCTCCGACATGGCTCCGGCTTCAAGTTTTTATTGTTGTAATCGAGTGTCTTTTGTGTTCAGTGGTCGCACATGAGCATGTCTCGCTGATAAAGCTAATATGAGTGCGAATGTATACTTCGTAGCTGGAAGTCTATTAAGGAGAGAATGAAAGTGAAAAAGCGAGCAAAAGCAATAGAAGAGACAGAGTGAGAGCAACAGAGAAAGAGAGAGAGAGAGAGAGCGATGCACGGCGTGAGAGAAAGTAAGAGAATAAGAGCGAAAGGAAGAGAGAGAGAGGTAGAGTGAGTGGAAGAAAGAAAGAGAGATAGTAAGTGAAGGAAGACAGACAGAGAGGGAGCTTAAGATTGAAGTGGAAGAAGGAGAATGAAGGTCAACGCGTTACGCCCGATGTGTGTGCTCCAACCCTATGAAAATTGTTTTATTTCTTACAAAAAAATAAATAATTAAAAAATATAAATTTTTATTTAAATATTTATAGAAGTATAAAAATGTTTTCTAAGTATTTTCTTTCTAAAAAAAATGTAATGCCCCGAAGTTTTTATCGGTAAAAACTGAGATTATAGGCAAAAAAATGTTTATGGCTTGACCCCAGAATAGCTTTGTTTTGCCTAAAATGTTGAACTAATCGTGACTAGCCCTAATTCTGAGCTTCGACATCTGAAATGCGGCACATAAAATGCGAAATCGCACGATATAAAAATTTTAAGTACAATTATTGATTAGGCTAGGTATTTCTACCTAACCACATTCAAGATCATTTTGTGCCCGCCAACCTCAATTGATTAGATAAGCCCTACCATAATAGTTGGTCAGTTTCCTCTTGTCCCGACCTATAAAATGATCTTCAAATTCTCTTCATTTGCTTCATGCTCCGATAATTTGCGAGCTAATGCTGAGAGAGTAAACTAGCATGGCATTACGGAGCCCTATTCGATATTGCCCGATCTGGGTTTTATGAGTGTCTAGAGTTATATAGAGTCTGGCCTGCTGTGGCATTATCTTATCGTTGTTTTCAAAAGTTACTGATGGCCTGCCTAGTCGATTGCATAATACCCTGTAAAAAGCGTGGAGTAGACTTATTATATTGCTTTCTGATTGTTTTATAAGTGGTATATGTTCATTAATATTTCAATAATACTTTAGGCTATTATATAACTCAAATCTGAGCATTCTTCTATTGCTTATACAAGCAACAATCGGTTCTCGGAAGTAACTTTTCTCTTATCTGTAGCTGTTCAGCTATATACCCTTCGGCAAGAATCTTAACTGGAGAGTATGTAAACAATAATAATTCCTGGTATTGAGTGGTAACTTACCAACAATTGGCCCAAAAGATTAACTTGGAGTGTTTTGAGCAATAAATTTCAGAAACAAGCAAATAAATTACGTTTCTAAATCGAATATTTATACTTTATCTATAAACAAAAGGGACGCATATAAAATACAAAATATAGCATAATTATAGCTACTCTACACACTACTCTCGATCGAACTGTAGAGCTTTACAAACAAGAGTCTTCACACGAAGCTGAGCTAATCACTGTTTAATCCAGAAATATAGATAAAGCCCCCCTTGGCTGCCTCTAATTGTCTGTTGGGCAAATATACGAATGTCAATTGCAGCCATAAAGGCAACTAAACCCGTATAGATAGACACAGTTCTATATCAGATAATGCCAGACGTTCAGACAACAAATCAATTGAAAACCAACAGGTGCATCGGTCGAACGGTCGAGCGGTCGAGCGGTCGAACTAGCTATCGGTCAGCGTCATTTTTTCGAATGACAAAGGAAATTTTCGACATCTTTACGAACTCTGCTTTATGTGATGCACATGATAAGAAAAGTTGAATAAGATTTGTAGTTTTCTTTACATCAGTTTAGCGAATAAATGTATATTTATGTTTCCATATATATGTAGATAAAATATTACAAAAAAACAAATTTAACTTTTTTAATATAGTCGGAGTAAGTCATTCAGATATCGTTTTTCTTTAATTAAAAAATTGTATTCCATTTCGGAACAATTACGGCAATTACGGTTTAACAAGGATTAACTACATTTTTTTTTAATAAAATTTTGAAATAGATGAAAAACATTTTCACACAAAAATTTCAAGACTTCTTAGTTTGATGATTGACTTTGGATATTCAAAGATTGCAAGAAACAAAGGAAGGAGTAAAATATTATAATGTTAATGAGTTGCCAGCAAATAAGAAACCTTTCAAATTTTATATGAAACAAAAAAAATGTCTTACATAAAGACGTTTTATTACAAAAGTAAAAAGAAGCACACTTAATGTTTAGTTTACTTTAATGTCACCAGCTACATTGAGAAACGTAATGTCACTTTAGTAAATTGTCTGTGGCGGGTTTTTCTTTTCTTTTCCACAATTTATATATTTACATTTTATCAGGAGCCTTTTGAAATTATGATTAAACTTATCGGCACTCGAAAAGCAATAATTGTATGCCTAATTAAATTCAGTTCAGTTAAGCTCCTCGAAGAAAGACACTTGTAATCAGATGCGAGGATCTTGGATTGTTATCATGGCGAGAGAAGGAGAGACAGAGAGAGAGCGCGAGAGACGGAGCGAATAAAGACGTCGAGAACCTTGCCGCCGTGTGTCGCGTATCAAACTGACAGCTGGACAAATTTGAAATAAATTTGTTGGCGAAGGCAACCTCCGATAACTGCGGCTCGATAATGCGGATAATAAAATATCATTATCAGCTGTATAGAGTGGACTGCAAATATATTATCAGGCCAATTTTACGTTGCGTTTTGTACTTTACGTTGCCTTACTCATACGCCACGTGAAATTCTAATCCGTATGAGTATTTCGATTATTCTCCCTCTCTCTCCTTCAATGTGAGAGCGGCAATAACAATAATACAATAAACTATAACAAATGCGACAATGACACTATTACTATTAATATATTTTACAACCCCCGCTTCAACCCCAAGTCCAAATCAAATTGTAAGCCTAAAGCCAGCCATATATCTGCCTCTCTCTGTCTATATCTGTATTGCAGTCTTTCTCCCTCGCCCCATTGTGATTAGATTCGTAAGTGAATTAGCATAGCGTGTAGAGTATGGAATCTAGAATTACGAGGTTCTGTTCTCCAAGAATCGAGCGAGATACGACAGTTCAGTTTTCGTAACTCTCTATTTTATATTGAGTTATTTTCAAAATCATTAGAAAAAATTAATTTATTATTATTGTAAAATATAGATATTAATTTTCATTTTATGATTTATGTATTTCAACTGTCTATAAAAAATGTATATATATATTTTTTTTTAATAATTTATTTTAATAATTTCAAGCACTTTTTATCCATGCAGTATTTTAAATTTCTAACTCTAAAAATAAATATTAGTATCAATAATTTTATTAAAATTTATTTTCATAAATTAAAATGTTTGGTTATGTTCAATGGAACTTTATAAATGGATCCGGCTCGTTACCGTGCGGCAATCGATAATTGAGTCCCATATTGAAGAACAAGGATATGCCCACGCCAAAAATTATTACCAATATAGTCACCGTGAAGATGGCTTGCGTAAGGCCAGGTGTTAGATATGACTCGCAAGACCAGCAGGGCTTGGTTATATAGTCGGGATCCAGCGCCGAAATGTTGTCTAAACAGAAAGACCAAATGGCATATGAGTGTACGGGCGAGAAGCATTTCGATCCTTTTGTATACATATGTGTGCATAGTTATGTATGTATCACTGACAGATTGATCTATTATATAAGTTATTTATGATAATAACTAAACGAACCTCTAATTAGATATTTTTTAATATTAACATCGGGTTTGTTTAGAAGCAAACAAATGATTAATCTAAGGTAGTCTGTCACTTTTACGATCTTTGAACTTATTCTGACCTTATATTTATATTCACTGGATTCATTCTAATATACCCCTAAAATCTAATAAATTTCGAAGAGTCTTCTTTTTAAGTCTCGATAATAATCTATCTGTACAGCTCGAAAACTATATTAAATTTAGAACCATGCGATTTGATGAACACATACTAAACTTATCACTCTAGGAATACAACTTAGGTCTTTTTTAAAAATTCTATGGCACAAAACCTATGTAGAGTCTAGCACAATATCTATTTGTTTACTCACCAGCTAATATGACATCCATGCTGAATGAATGCATGCTGATGCGTCCTCCCATTTTCGAATAGGCGTTGAGGGACTGGCAACAGAAGCTAAATTGTGTGCTATAGAATATAAGATCTCTGGGCCTATACGTTACATTCATGAAGTCCAGCTTTTTTAGGCGCCAGTTGCCGACAACGTTCGAGAGTATTATGTGAAGATTTTCTTTTGGAGTGCTAATGATTAGGGCGACGCCTTTTTTTATATCCGAATCATCATTCATTTTAACTTCGAGCGAAGAGTCCTGCTCACTCATGTAAATGTATTCCCGTTCGTAGTAGACGGAAAGGCCGACGCGTATCTCCAGGGCATTAACGATCATACTCAAGCCAACGATGGCCTGAGGATGCCGAAGTATGACTACACTTTGATTCCGGTTCTCAGGATTCGCGTTTCGTCCACTGAAGCTGAAGCCCGATCTCATTTGCAGGTTTTCAGCTGCCTCCTCGGCTAGTTGTCTTCTCATCGCTAAGCGATCTATTCGACGCAAACGTCGTGCTAACTCCTCCGTCTGCTCCCCATGTGCTGTATAGAGCTGGACAAGCTGACAGGCCGTTAGATCAGACACCACTGACTCCATAAACTTATCTGTGGAGCAGCAATTTCAGCAATAATTTTGTGTATTTAGATTTTGTTCGAGCTCCAATAGTTCGTCAATTAAGTCGTTCTTTTACTCAACATTTCAGTTAGTTAAGCAATAGAGGCCTACTCAATACAAAGAAGAATTTGTCGTTCACTCATAGTATGGAGTTGACTAGTTCAATAGAACGAATCGTTCATGAGCAGCTGAAGAGCTCAATGGAATGAATCTTAACAGAACGATTCGTTCACGAACTATTGAGTAAACTCATAATTCACTGATAACAACGAACTAGTTCCGTAATAAACCGTTCAAGCTTAATGACTTGGCTTACCATGTTCGCTTAGATTTTGGGAGTTGAAATTGTAGGCATATATGTGACCCTTCTTGCAAGGCAGCTGCAACATTTTGTCTCTTCGACTCCAAACCAGTGGCTGCTTGTGTAAGGCCAAGAGAGTTTCTAACGCCAGGAGAGGATCGTGCACCTTGTTGTAGTAGGTACGTGGCTCTTCTTTACGCAAATAGGCAAAAGAATCCGATTCCAGGCAGCTCAGATCCTTTGCGGTCAACTATATATATATATATATATATAGAGAGAGAAGGATATGGAATGTAAACTAATTCATTGTGACCTACCAACGGTGCAAAGTAAGCAATCAACATGTGATCCTGAAGCAACGGGCGCAGACGATCAGCGAGCAACTTCGACTTGATTGTTTTGAAGATGCTGCTAGGCTCCGGTCTGCGTGTGGCAAAGAATGGATACAGAATAGTTAGTATGCAGCGTTTCTAGACTTACAACTTAGCGCCCCAGATAACGACGGGCGGGGTCGAGGATAACTGACCGCTCGCCTCCATGGCAGCCATCAAAACTATTATTTTTACAATCAGCAATATTTTCATATTGAATTATTGAAATACAAACAGAAAGTTTTTAATATTTGAAGCACGAACTATTTTTTGTTTTTCAAAGTGTTTTTCTTTATTCAAAACTATAGCAACGCTTGCTTTGAACTTGAGCTTCCTCAAAACCGGTAAATTGCAAATTTTTAGTTTTTGTTGCCAACATAAAGTTAGGGATATGTGTAGCATATCAATTCGAAATGTCGCTACAAGTCAAATGTTGCTGTTATCAATAACTGGTTCGCAACATGTATCATTTCGAATATTGTAGGAAAGCGCGACATGTCGAATATAGCTCAGATCAATTCGTATGGCTGGCTACATGTTGCCAGTGCGTAAGCGAGTCAGAAAAAACATTGAGTTCCACCCTAATTGAAATTAGAATTGAAATGATATCAAGTGGCGATAAGATAAAACCGAATCAAACTAAAATAGCTCGCAACATGCTTGAGATAGTGTTGCCAGCAACATGAATGTTATGTCGAATGTTGTTCGAAAGTGCAGCATGTCGAATTCGTATGCTTGGACACATGTTGCCAGTGCGTAAGCGAGTCAGCAATAAAGTTGAGTTCTGCCCGAATTGGAATTGAAATTGAAATGGAATCAAGTGGCGGGCGATAAGATAAAAACCGAATGCTTATCAGACTAAACAGGGGCGGGGGTAATATAGTTATGACACCTGTATTTAGCTGCTCTCACCTGCGCAGTTAGTCGCCCATTGACAATTGCTTCGAATAGTCGCGCGAATATGAAACGAATTAACTGAAAAGCCAAAAGCAATTTTAAGCGAAAACGAATCATTCAATCATTGAATCATCGAACTTCGAATAGTCTAAAAAAATGGTACAGAACACTCGCAGCTCCGACCTATCGCAGATCGCAGTCAACGCCAATAACATACCCGATGGTGCGTGAACAATAACGAATTTATATATTTATATATAATATTATATATGTATGTTTCTTCTGCAGACAGCGTGGACTGTGGCATCGAGGGCTTGGGCTGGTGTCGCGGCCCCGCCTGCCAGAAGTACGCTCGCCTGCGCACCTTCACGATTGTCCTGCTCTGCTCGGGGCTGCTGCAAGGCGCCTGCGAGCTCTACTTCCGTGTCTCAGCCAAGCAGGCTGCCTTCCAGTACGGCTACAATCCTCTAATAATCGGTGAGTAAGCCAAACGTATCGCGAAATATATATGGAACACACACACGCACACACACTTACCTATGACGGTTGGCAAAGAGTCAGGCGCAGCTGCCCGTTGGCCTCAATGCACGTTTGTTCGAATGTTGCTAAGCTTTTGCCAGTCACAAGAGCGAACGTGCGAGCGAGAGAGCAAGCATGAGAGCGCAAACTTATCAGAATTTGCGATATTGTTTATGATTTTGGCCATGTGTGTGTGTGTGTGTGCGAGTGTGTCATCAGAGATACAAGTGGCCAACTCGTTGCCTAGATTTCATACTCTGTAATCACAACAATTGGACAGCTTTTTACACAATTTATAGGACAATGTTATCAAACTAGCAGCTCCATTTCTGACTCTAGTTGACTTTATGTACTCGAAATATGCCTAAAGCTTTAGCTAAGTTCAGTTTAGTTTTTGGTACAGTTTGACATTCATTAAGGAACCATTTTGATTCATTTATTACATATATTTTTAGGGCCAGCATCGAAAATAGGCTGGCAATAACTGTGACGTAATCTGAGCTATAAAGTTGTTAACATTTCTTAATATAAGCCTTGTGTGGCCCATTGATAGTAGCGTTGTCTTATGAGTCAAATGAAGCTAATTCACAGTCATTGACAATGTGGAGAGGCTTCTTCTTTATCATAAAAGTCATTAAGTTATTTATATATTTGGATAAGGCTAAGTTACTCCCGAGCTGACAGAATTAAAGTCATTCAAAGTTTTATACAACTTTTGCAGACTCACATTTAATGTCATTTACTGTTTCCAGTTTAAGCTCCAATAAGAATTCGATGTTTGAATTGGAAGCTAACAGGAGAGTGAAAATATAATTACAATTGGACTTGTTAGATATTCGAATTACGAAAAATATAATATTGTCTAGTTAGATCTTATTAGTTAGGCGCTTAGTTGGGCTCACTGGAGATGCAATATGTTTAATTCTGATTAGAAACTTGTTATTTGCTATATAGAAAAACTTACCAATTTCTTGTATTTTATGTTAACTTGGTCTGCAGATTGGCTTCTGGTCAGCAGCGGCCTATTCCAGGCGGTGTTCGCCTTGGCCTTCGCCTATTGGGCGGACGTCTATCATCCGATCAAGTGGCTGGTGGGCACTCTGATGCTGCAGTCGGTGGCCTGTGTGGTTTCAGTGATACCCTCCATAATGAACTTGTGAGTAGTCGAGCAGCTTGCACCCTGTGGCTAGCCATTCAAACGTTTCTCTTTGGGGTTTTTCAGTGCTGACGGAGTCCAGTCGCAGGACGCCTTGGTGGATGCCAATCTGTGCTCCACCTCGCTGGCTCAGTTCCAGAAGCTGACGCTGACCGAGGCGCAGAGCAGCACCTTGACGCTGGTGATGCTGTTCGTGCTGCAGCTGGCCTTGGGCCTGGGCTCGCTGGCCTTCTACACGCTGGGCATCAGCTACATCGATGACAACTCGCTCTCGCAGGACAGTCCGGCTGTGATTGCCGTCGTGCTGGCTGCCCGGGCCATCGGCCAGCAGGTGGGCTCGTTCCTGGTGCTGGGCGTGGGGCTGACCAGTGTGGGCTGGTGGCTCGGCTGGGTGGTGCTTGCGCCTTTCATCTTTGTGGGCGCCGTGCTGCTCGGACTCTTTCCCAAACGGCTGCCCAAGACGGTGATCCACCAGGCCGCGCAGCGCATCATCGAGCAGTCGAACCTGAGAGCCTTCGGCAGCCAGTTCTCGACCTACCTGGACGACTCGGACTTTTGGCCCTCGCTGAAGCGGCTGTTCAACAATCGCCTGCTCATGGTCAACCTGCTGAGCGTCATGTGCCTGCAGAGCGGCGTGCTCAACTACGGCCTGCAGGAGGAGAACTATCTGCAGAGCCGCTTCTTCCTGCCCTACAACGAGCAGGACGGCCTCACGCAGGAGTGGCGCGCGGCCTTTGTCTCCTACTTCCTGCGGCCGCCGGTTATGGCTGTGGGCATGCTCATCGCCGGGCTGCTCATCTCGAAGGCGAAGCTCTCCGCGCGCACCATAACGGGCATCAACATCTCGCTGGCGCTGCACCTGGTCGTCATCTATGTGAGCTACGTCTTCATTAGCTGCGATGTCGGCGCCATTGCGGGCGTCGTTGGCGGCAAGCTCACGCAGCCGTATTGCGCCAGCCAGTGCCTCTGCACGCCGACGGCCTTCATGCCCGTCTGCCCGGAGAACAGCAGCGTCACCTACTTCTCGCCCTGCTATGCCGGCTGCACCAAGCGCAGCAGCATCAACAGCTTCGAGCTGTACGAGGGCTGCTCCTGCCAGGGCGATCAGTCGCTCAACTCGGGCGGCACTTCGCGCGCCACACCTGGCGCCTGCAGCGCCGACACCTGCCAGAAGACCATCATCGTGTTCCAAATATTGAGCATATCGTCCGCCTTCCTGGTGGGCATGTCTATCATCGGCAAGACCTTGATCACCCTGCGAGCTGTGCTGCCACAGGACAAGGCGCTCGCCCTCGCCTTCGAGCTGATGATTGTGGGGCTCTTCGCCTATGTGCCCGTGCATCTCAGCTACGACCTGGTCACACGTAAGTGCTGGTATCAATGGCATCAATCGATTCCTCTGCAGCAATCAATCGAATACTTTCGTCAGCTTCAATCAATCATCTATCAGTGATTTACTTCACTGCTTACTAATCTTTTCATGTCTCACTCTTTATGAGTCGCTGTTTCAATCAGACTGATTGATTGATCAAGGAGAGTTTGCCTTTCACAGAATGATTGATTGACTGCTTGATTGACTCGACTCACTGACTGACTCAACTGTTCTGCAACAATTTTGGCTTGTCTTTCCAACTTCTTGGTTGATTGATTGTTAGACTGATAGAGTAACTGATTGACTGATAGCGTGATTGATCGACTGATAGAGTGATTGATCGACGTATAGAGAGATTGATTGACTGAGTGACTGATTGACTGATAGAGTGATTGATCGACTGATAGAGTGACTGATAGAATGATTGATTGACTGATAGAGTGACTGATTGACTGATAGCGTGATTGATCGACGTATAGAGAGATTGATTGACTGAGTGACTGATTGACTGATTGACTGATAGAGTGATTGACCAGCTGAAGTATTGATTTCCCAATTGAGTGCTTGCTTGATTGATTGATTGACTGACAAACTTACAGCCTTAGCGTGAGGACTCCTGTTCGAATATCTACTTCTCTTAATCAATTTCTATACACAGTTTAGCCCTGATTGACTGACCGAAGTTTGCTTTGCATTTCAGGCACCACCTGCGTCTACTGGGCACCCAACTACGAGCGCTGTCTGCTGCGCGAGACCCCCAAGCACGGCAATATTTTGGACATTTTGACTGCCTCATTGATTTTTGCCAGCGTGCTCTTCGACGTATTGGTCTATATCTTTGCGAAGGGCCTGAATCTGTACAACTGCAAGGTGACGGACAACAACTATACGCCTTCGCTGTATGCGCCAGTGCCGCACGAGGATTCGGCTGCGGGGCGTGGCGGCAGTCCGACAATGACGACGACAACCGTTGCCTCTGGCTCGCCCATGCAACGACGCGATGCACCACAGGAGGAGGCAGCTGTAGAACCACGTCGCTTGGAAGCCAGCGTCTACAGGCAACCCAGTTCGCTGACCGACTCATCGGGCACCCAGAGCATTGTTGAGCCGAATGGCAACGGCGTGACCTACGCCCAGGTCGTCTTTCCGCCGGATAAGCGCAAGCGAGAGGACGGCACCACGAGTCCCAAGCGCCTGGCTGTGCCAGCAAACGTGCCACTCCATCATCTCTCCGAGACGGATGTGCGCACGCAGCTGGGCACACTCAAATCCTTCAATCCAGCCCAGTCAGCGGCGCACGATACGGACGTGATTGAAGAGCAGCCGTTGCCGGGCTACCAAGAAACAGTTGCTCCAACTGCCAGACCCCAGAGCCCAGAGACCGACTTCTAAGCTGGACGATCAAATATTTACCTTTTCGATTTCTAGCAACTAGTATTTTTCATGAGTTCTTCTCGCTTTTACTGTGTTTTTATCATTTACATTTAATTATTTATAGCATTAATCTATATATATATATGATTTTATTGTACCCAGTTACAATCATTCAAAGTTTTTCTCTTTTCATGAAACCTGCTCTACTTTGACTTCTAACAGCGATTTATGCGTGAGCCATTCACGCTCATTGGTTAATAGATGCCGTTGTATATCCTTGGTTAAGCTATACCAAAGATATAGTCCTAGTTAACCTAAAGGACCACTCCTTGCACACTTTGCATTGTAATGGTTCCAAAATATGCATAATTTCCCTTTCAGCAAACTTCTTGTACGCTCTGCAGGTTAGTATCAGCATCAACAGCTGCTTTACAGCTGCACAACAGCTGCTTTACAGCTGATTTACAGTGGCCATTTAACATAGCGATCAGCTGTTACTGTAAATTCGACTGCAGCCGGCGAGTATGCAACGAATTAGACGATTGCCCCTGGTGGGTATGCAACGAAATAATTTTGATGTGCAAATTTGTCCACCTGCTGCTCAGTTCTGTTCGCCTGGTATTTCATCCATGTTTTAGCTAAATTTTATAGCGCAATCGCGCGTCTCAGAGGTTATGCGAGGATTTTTTCTCTGTCTTTTCTATTCTTCTATTAGCTTTTCCTCATCCTCTTTTAGCTGCACTTATATATATATATGTCTCAGTCCCAATAAAAAGATTTGAGTTGGATATTTTTCTTTGTATTTTTTGTTGTTTTATTATAATTGTATTTCCATTAGTTTTATTTAAATATAGTTGGTATTTGCATTTGATTTACTTGTTTTAATCTTTTGTTGTTGTATTTATCACTTACAAACTAATTAATAAATTAATAGTTAGACTTAGAAATGAGGACTTAAGCGCGTAGAAATTAATCATGGGTAGCATAAAAATAAGAAAATTATTAAAAAAACATGAAACATCCAGAAATAATAAAAAAAAGGAAAATAAAAATACTTTTTCTATAGTGTGGATGGCCGATCTGCAAGCCGATATAGTCTACTATAACAGCTGATGTATGCGAGTATGCAGCGCAACGCAAACGCACAAGTTTTATGCTTTAGTTTGGGTATATATATAGTGTTATATATATATTATATATTTGTATAGCTTGGCTTGATTAATTTACTTCTTGAATTGAGCTGGCAGCCGACCTTAGACGATTCAAGTCTCCGCAGGTGGCCAGTGTTGCTAGTGTTGCAAAATGCCAGACAGACAAAACTTGTGCGTTGTACGTTGCGCTATTTATCTCTCTCTCCCTCTCTCTCTCTCCATAACTTCTCTTTTCATTTTTTTGATTGCATTTTCAGATTTTAGCTAGTTGAATGCGCTTTCTGTTTACTTTTATATATATATATATAATGTGCGTAAGAGAGAGACAGAGATAGTGTGTATGCGTTTGCTTGTGTGTGAGAGAGGCAGAGATAGTGTGTATGTGTGTGTGTGTGTTTGCTTGTGTTGGTTTAACAGAAATCTTACAACAGATTTGATTTATACAAAAATTCGAAAATTAATATTAATTATTAAACTAAATATTTGCATAACAATTAAAATAGGACGACTTTTGCTTAATATTTAATACATTCTCTTTAAATCTTTTTTCAGTGTTTTACTTTTTTAACTCTTCCTCTTTCAATTTTGCTGAGTAGGGTGTGTATTAATTTAGTAGGGTTGTTCACTTTTGAAGTGAATTTTATTTTGTTTGAATTTCTATTTGTTTTTTTTTTTCTTGTATTTAGCATTTAGTTAATTTTTTCGCTCCCTTCGAAAGTTGCACACATTTTATATATTTAAATATATTTACAATAATTTTGTTGCTGTTTTGTTTTTTAATTTTCGTGAGCAAAAATGAAGAATTTGACAAAAGTATTCTAATAGATATAACTACAACGATTTCTCTACGTGTGTTTTTTGGGCGTGTATTTGTTTTTACCTTTAATAATTTGAAACATGCACATTTATGATTTTGTTTTTCTTTAGATAATAATTTGCTTTTCGTTTGTTAATTAAATAATTAAAAATTATAAAAATAGCAGATTGTTGTTTCACATATACATATACATATACAAATATATATATATATATATATATATATATACAGAATCAGTGTGAATAAAAATGTTGATCTCATCTTCTTATTCTTCATCATCATCTGCTGCTGCTGCTACCGCTGACTTTCAAGTAAATTTCTTTAAGTGTATTTTTTTGCTTAGGCGCTTGCTTCGGATATTTTCTTGCTTGCTTTTTACAATTTACAATGCACAATGCAAATTATCACATATTTTGTTTTCTTTATTATTCTCCCTTCACGCTTTCCTTTCATCATTATCTTTCTCTACCCATGCACATTGCGCGGCTCAAATTCTACTTTATACAATATTTAAGTATTTCTTTGAAGCCAATTTAAAATTTTTTAAAATTTTTTTCTTAGCTGAGAGTGTTTTGCATTTCATTGATTTGTTTTTCTTTTTTTTTTTGCTTTTGCTTTTGCACAACTTCTTTCGAGCGTTAGATATCATAAAACAGCGTATTCAATAAACAAAAAGAAAAGACGTTGAAAAAAATTGGAAAACAAATAAATTACATTTTCATCTTTCGTTTTTCTCTCTGTGTATTGCATAGAAATCTTATGTTAATTGGCGCAGCAGCGCTCTGTTGAAAAGAGATTGAAAACACTCTGTTAAAGCCGACGTTTACAGTTGGCCAGCCGCAGCCAAGAGCTGCTAACGCGCAGTCTATCCATCTAACTATGTCTGTCTATGTGTGTGTATGTGTTCATATGTTTTTTGTGTATGTGTGAAGGTATGTGTGTTAAACAAATATCACAATCGAGAAATTAACAAAATGGCGGCTGCAGCAGCGCTACCAGCAGCCGCAGCCGCAGTCGCAGCAAACAGCCCGAAACGTTAACAGCAGAGCTCTTTCCTCCTCCTCCTGCTCTCAACCACACTCTCTCTTTTTACTCACTTGCACTTGCTCTCTCTGCGCTCTTTGTTTGTAATACTTTTTGTTTTTGGTCTGCTTTTGTTGTTGTTAATGTTGTTGTTGTTGTTGCTGCTGCTGCTGTTGCTGCTGGAAGGGGGCGGGGGCTGCTAACGCTTAACTCTGTCGCGGGCGACAAAGTGTTTTTTGTATTATTATTTCGACATTCCAGTGCCCATGGACAGTGGGCCACATTAATAACATTACGATTAAAACAAACTAACAAACAGCTTAGGACATAGGTCCGTTTGTGCTGATGGCTGCGACGCCGCTGCCTCCGTTTGCCGCTGGCTGTGCTGTATCAACTGCTGCAATGACTGTGTCGACGCCGCTGCCATTGTTGCTGTTGCTGCCATTCTCTGTTCCGCTGCCATTTGCGATGATTGTGGACGGCGCTGTTGCCGCCGCTGGGCTAGTGGCCGCTGCCGATGCCGGCGTCGCAGTCACTGCTACGGCTGCTGTTGCTGCCGGCGGCGCTGCCTGTATGGCGGGCGTTGCTGGCGGCGCTGCGACCGCTGCCGGCTGCTGACTGCCAGCGATTTGCAACTGCATCTGCAACTGTTGCAATGTCTCCGGTGACATGTTCGACTTGAGTATGTTATTCTCCAGCTCCAAATTGGAGATCTTGTCCATCAGCTCGGAGATGCGCTCTTTCAATACCTCCACTTCCTCGCGCACCGCTATCATGAGGTGCGACTTGACCAGGTCCTGCAATACGAAAAAAAATTTAATCAGTAAAGAAACTAAATTACAAAAATTCAACTTATGTTAAGTTTACAGACATAATAACATAAAATGTTAACTAGCGGATCATTTATGTTGAATAAGAGTGCCAGCTACTTTGCTTGCTTTCTCTCTCTTGTTATGTTAATCGCTGCAGTAGCTCTGCTAGCCGCGCGTTAACATAACCGCTTTCTGTTATTCGCCTATGCGCTTATCGATAATAAAGAAGGCTTTGGCGCTGAGTTTAAAGTTCCAATGAATGGCTACAAAATCAATATAACACCCATTCATGAAACAATTTTCAATGTATGTAGCGTGTTTTGCCACATATATGTATATATGTATATATAGTCATATATTTTATGACAAATGTCAATGCCAACATGCCACGCGTGTTGCCAATGCTCATGAAAATTTAATATTCCCATTAAGTGGTAGAGTGGGCGTGGTTGGAGGCCATTTCAATACAACGACAGATTTTTAACGAAACAAATGATTGTCTTTGCCTGTTGCCATCTCGCTCGCACATTGCATGTGTTTGTGGCACGTGCAACACGCCAAGCAGTCAGGTGAGTACGTTTTCTTTTTCATTTTAAATGCTTTTTCATTTTTGCTAAAAATTACGATTACATATTCTATTTAGTTTATTGCTCAGTGGCAACAAAACATCATATATAAAATAAATTTATATTTACATGTATATACATTGTAAATTATTAGCTTTAAATATTTTTGTTCAACTAATTTTGCTGCCACGCTGGCAAAAACGCACACGAAACGCGCACGAAACGCGCTTGAAACGCTCGCGATTTTGCTTAGTCATAAAAGTTGAAACAAATGAAGCTCATGATTTATAGCTGGGTGACCTATGCGAAGGTGGGCGGCTTGCTGAGAGGCATGGTCAATGCGCTGTCGTCTCGCATGTTCTACAGTGATTTTCTTTTCTTTTATTCTTTTTTTTTTGACTGGGCTTTTTGCCAAGCGTTCGAATCACAAAAAACGCGTCGAGTCTATAAATATTTGCACGTTTTTTCCTTTGCTCATAAAATGTTTACTAAATTTATTTAAATAAATATAAAAATTGATTGTTTGAATACCTCCGATTTTTTAAGAAATATATAGGCAAGAATTATTGATAAATTAAAAAAAAAATGTATTTAGAATATTTTAAAGTTTGGTTTTACAATAATAAAATGATAATTTTTATAAAATTTACTATGTGAATCCCTGCATATAAAAAAAAGAGTTGATAAATCCATAAAAACATGTCTAAAAGTCAATAACAAAAACTGGTTTAAACTGAATTGAATAAGAGCAAAAGAAAAATAAAAATAAAAATGCAAATACTGTAAACATTTGTATAAATAAATATATATATGCAAGAAAAGCTTAAATGTGCTTGAAATTCGTAATGCAAACCAATTAATTAATGCATTAATTATAGACAAATTATATACATAAAATCTTTTTTTTTCAGAATTAGAAATTTTTAAATAAATGTTAAAGTAACAATTATTAATTTTCATATTTTTTGGACAATTTATATACGTTTAATTTTTTCCTATGTATATGCAGAGTTTAATATATGGTATATATTCAAATCTGCAGGTAGGGATTTAGCCACAAGAATGCAAATGCATTTACCACACTAACACTAACACACATACACATACAGGCAAAGACAGACAAATAGAAATTGGTAGTCGGGTCGAGGTTCGTTTTTGGGGTTCACGCGTGTCGCTTTCTGAGGTAGACACCAAACGTTTCTGCTGCTGCTTCTTCTACTACTTCAGCTTGTTTTTTTTTGTTTTTTGAGTCTTTCGTTTATTTTCTTTTTTGCCTGCACTCAACGAAACTCACAAAAAAAATCACCAAATATGGCGTCGCTTCACTTGTTCCATGTGCTCTTTGTTTTTGCTTTTTAACATATTTTCATTTTTAATTCTTTTTCAACTAAATACACATATACATACAAACATACATATACAAAAGTATACATATAAGTATATTTATATATATTTTTTTTACATGTTTGCCTTGAATGCGCGCAGCCTCAATTGAAATATATATATAAAAATCTATGCACAAAAAATCAATAGAAAATGCAAGGTGACATTTTAGCTAATGCAACTAACTATATACTATATATATATATATTTTTTTATTTATTTTTCTTCTTATACATACTTTGGCATTTGGCACCATCACATAGCAGGGGCTGTCGTAGCCCTTTTGCCAAATTTCGTAGAGCCAATTTTCAGGCTGACGTAGAGACATGGTGCCCATCATTTTATATATATGTTTTATTACACTTGAGTATTGAATTCAGTAAAAGTATTTTTTCCCAAGTTTCTCTTCTGCGAGTATCTAAGTTCTTTTTCTTTTTGTTTTATTGCACTTTTCACGCACTTATATAATACAAAATTTGTTGTAGTGGTGTATCACAGTTATAATTTGCTTTTTTGCTTTGTGCCTTGGTTTTGCGTTTTTGCTTTTATTTTTTGTTAAATTTTTGGCTTTGGTTTCTTTTGCGTTGTTCGCACAGCAAAAGTTCAGCAATAACTGAATACGCAGCACAGCTTTTAGAAATTATGAGACCGGCGCAGAGCTTTTGCATTTGCATTCGACACTGAAAGCTCTTTTTTTTGTAAAATTTTTCTCGACTGCTGATACTTTTACAGTTCTTGTTTGTTCTTTGCTTTGGCTGAGTGAATGTAATTCACAATTGAAAAGTCTCTTTTTGGCTGCTCGCACAAAATATTTATACTTTAAAAATGTATTTAGTAATATCTTATTTTCAATAATTTTTATTTTTGTAGTATTTTTGCGTTTGGCGTGCGGCGCGTTGCGAGTTGAACTGGCGACTGAACGTCTGCTTGCAATTAGCGACGCATTTTATATAAAATGGCAGCGACAGCGACGAGAGAGCGTCAGAGAGCGCAAGAGCATAGCAAACCAAAAGAGCGCGAGCGCGCTGGGAGCGTGAGTGTGCATGTGACTGTAGCGTGTGAGAGAGAAAAAGAGAGCGGTCTGCTGTGTATCTGCTGGCAGATACTTTATTTGGGAGTGCGCGCCATGTTGCGACAGCTATACTGTTGTATGTACATATACATATATGTCGTTGTGTATGTGTGTGTAGCTCATTGACGGGTATGTATCTCTATCTATCAGCATTTCTACCAAAAGCTCCGCTACTGCGGCTGCCGCCGCTGCTGCTGCTGTTGTTGTTGTTTTTATTCTCTCTGTTTGTTTTGACGCGATTTGCCTCAATAATTTACACACTATATCTTTTTTTTAATAATCATTTGGAAAAAAAAGACAGCAACCAGCGCCCCAAAAATTTGTTAACAAATTTAAGAAACCAGCCGGCATAAATATTTAGCTGTACGTATATACATAAATACATACATGCACATATCCACAAAGTATTTCAAACAACAACAAATTTTGCCACTCGTTTTCGGCATGACAAATTTGCTGGCTGCTTTTATTGTTGTTTTTTTTTTTGCTGCTTCTTTTGACACTTTTGCGCTGCGACGCAAAAACTTTACGACAGTTTTTTATCATAAAAAAAGACAACAAACAAAAAAAGGAATGCTCAGTGAGCGAATGGGCGTTCTTATAGATACTTTTTGAGCAAACATGCGAGATTTTTTTCTTTTTTCGTATTTCAGCAAAACAAAACAAAAAACGTGGTTGGCTTTTCACCTTTTTGCGCATTGCGTTTTATCTTACAGAGCAGAGCTTCTTACATAGCTTTGATTTGAAATGCCATTCTTTATACACACGCATATATACATATATATAATATATGTATATATAAGCGTGGCTATTTGTTTCCGGATGGGCAAAAGAAAACAACCGCAAATCAAGCCGACAGCTTTTTCAAGGGCTTGCAAATTTGCAAAACAAATTGTCAACAACAACAGCAGAAGCAGCACCAGCAAACGAATGAAACATTAACAATAATAACAACTGTGTTCAAAAATTTAACATTCAACACACAGCGCGAGAACATGAAACGTATCGATTTCATGCGCATGTCGCAGATGCAGCCCCGCCCCCGCCAACGACACCAAAGCTACCGCCTCTCTCTTGTCACCCTCTCTCCATACACCCCATATACAAAACAAAGCTCAACAACAAACACAGATACACTCACAGTTACAGATACAGATACCGACATAAACACAGACACACATACACACATACATATACACTACATCTTTATATGTAGAAGCTTAAATCTGATTTTCCCATAGCTTCAAATGCCGGCAACAAATTGCAAATTGTAAAAAAACATCCGCGTTGCAGGCGGTAAATAAAAAATATTAAAAAATGAAAAGAAAAAATAAAACATGAATGTGTAAAAACAAAAAAAAGTAGAAAACAAAACGTACATAAACAAAAAACAATTAATGCCACATTTGTATAAACAAATTGCAATGGGTCGGAACAATTTGCTGTTCAGGAGGAAAGAGCTGCGCGAGAATCAGGGGCATGGAAGTTGAAAGTAAGTATTTAGGAGTCAGCATTACCATTATCGTTATCATTAGCATTGCCATTAGCATTAACATTACCATTATATTTATTGTGATTCATTCTCATTTACAGTTTCAATAATATTTTTACTTTATTAAGACTCTAATAGAGTAAATGTGCATTAACAAAGATGCTTGGAAAGAGTTTGAATATGAGATTTGATATTGCAACGGAAAAGTGGCTGACACTAAGTACTCAGTACTCAATAAGAGTACAGAGAAGAGCTTGAAGGTCAATGCGGTATAACGCCCAGTTGCAAGATTGAAGAAAGTCCAAGAATGAGAAGGTTTTTTTCAGGCAGTAAGCAGCAATAGCAACTGCAGTGCGACTTGAATTTTATGTTGAGAAGGGATAATGTCGTTTTCATTATATATATTATATAAAAACTGTTCAACAAAATATGAATGAAAAATATTAATAATAATTCAAATAATAAATGCAAT